GACTAAGGCAGGAAGTTTCAGAGGTTTGGGGTTTAGTGGCTGAAGGCACAGCCACTGATGGAGGAGTGGAGGGGGTTTATCTTGGTTTAACATTTGATTGGACCTCCAACAATACAGTGTGCTCCCAGCTCTGTATCACAGTGTCAGTGTGGACGTTTGACGCGGGGTTCGAACCCACAACCTTCTGCCTCAGAAGCCAGAATGTGAGAGTGCTACCATCTAAGCCAAGCTAACGTACAGATGAAAGTCTTGCTTAAAGGTATCTCACTGTTGGATAAGCACTGAGCTGATCATGGCAGTGTGACGTACACTGTGTTTGAGCAGTGTCTCAGAGCGCTGTACAGTGATGCTATTGGATGCTGAGTAAGGGAGAGGGGGTTGGGGGGGTTGACCAAAGGCACAGTTGATGAGAGAAGATTTATGGTGGGATTTAAGAGCAAGATTGAAACAGGGAGGTGGAGGGAGAGAGGCAGGAAGTTCCACAGCTTAGCTTGCTATCTCTGTCTTACTCAGGGGATTTATTTCCCTCTAATTACTTTTCACGATGTCGATATGTTGCTGCACTAATTAATTTTTTTTGCCAAACTTTCTGGCTGTTTAATAAATGTGTTTCAATAACAATTGTTTGTACAGCGATTAACAGAAATCCCCAGAGTGTTTTTTCATAAGATAACTTATATTTAATAGAACATCCTGTATACTGTATTTATTGTTGGCATTTAGTTTGGAACAAACACCTGTTATCTTTCATTAATCAACCAGTCCTAGTTGTGTAGTTATTTTGGCTTAAATGTAAGGTTAACTGAATAAATCCCGGGCATTACTAGGTAGTAAACTGAATGAAGGATTTGGATGATTTGTTATTTCTTATTAATTATTAATTTTTACCCACAAATATACAGTCAATTCACTTTACAATACAATATAAATCACAGCCCTGCTAGAACCATAGAATATTGTAGCACAGAAACAAGCTGTTCATTTATTTTGCTCCAAATTAAATATTCTTATTCTTCTGCTTAACCCCTCTAATCTTTTAGGATGAGATCAAATGGGCTGACCGGCCTCTTCCAAACTTGCTTTGTAAAATTGCTAATCCCAAATTCTGTAGTTCCTATATTTTCTTTGGGATGTCCTGCTGACATGAAGGCGTTACACAGTGTAATTAAGTTGTTGTGCACATTGTATTCGAGGTTAAGCTGCCAATAGGGTACAAATGCTAAATAATTGTCAAGTGAAAAGGGATTTTATTGTGGGATATTTTTACACATTTATATTGAGTTTAATCTTAAAATCATATTGTGAATATAATCCAGAATAGAGACTTCTCCTATTTATATTGTTGTACAAGTCGAGTCCAATAGAGGGCAGACAGAGCTCAGTTTGCGCTCCCAAAGCACCCAGAGGACTTTCTCAATAGGATCCGTGGAAACTGCAGGCAAAATAATATATAATAATATTTAATCATAATATCATATAATAATATAATAATCCTTACATTTCATACAGCACGTCTTCGAGACGTCTCAAAGTGCTTCACAGGATGCACTGTAAAGTGAATTGACTGTATATTTTGTGGGTGAAACACAGCAGCCAATTGGGCAAACAGTCGTGGATTGAGTGATCAAATAATTTATATTTTAATATTTATTTTGAAGGAATTATTACCCCCAGAAAAGCGATTTGCCAATCGACTAACAATTGGGTTCCTGATGTATCATAAAGCAAAAAAAAAGCACAACTCATGGTCTTAAGTTTTATTTAAAATGGAACGGAATTAGAGGAATACATTAGAATCCATTAGAATATACAGCACAGAAACCGTCCATTCGGCCCAACTGGTCTGTGCTGCTGTTTATGCTCCACATGAGCCCCTCCTGCCCTTCCTCAACTAAGCCTTCAAGCAAAGCCTATTCCTTTCTCCCTCAATTATCTCTCCAGCTTCCCCTTAAATAGTGGAGTCCTGTAGCTCAGTGGTTAGAGCACTCGCTTTGCAAGTGAGAGACCTGAGTTCAATTCCCGGCAGAGGGCGAAACCTCGGGCAAGTTTCCTTACTCCACACAGAGCCTAATAATAATCCCTCCAAAACCAAAAATAATAATAAATTGGTCATTTTCAATCTATGACTGTTTGTGGGACATTGCTGTGCGCAATTGGCTGCCGCGTTCGCCCACAAATATACAGTCAATTCACTTTACAGTGTGTTCTGTGAAGCGCTTTGGGACGTCCTCCCGACGTGAAAAGCGCTATATCAAATGCAAGGATTATTATTATTAAATACATCTGTGTTATTTGCCTCCACAACTCCCTTGTGGGAGGATGTTCCATATTCCCAGATATAGAGAGATGGAGGGAGGGAGTGTGTGAATAGAGAGAGCGAGAGCCTGTTTCACATTCCCACTACTCTCTGTGTGAAGAAATGTCTTCTAACTTCCCTATTTGATCTATTTGTGACTATTTTATATTGATGGCCCCTGGTTTTGGTCTCCCCCACAAGTGGAAACATCTTCCCTATGTCGAACCTATCTAAACCTTTCAACATTTTAAAGACCTTTATCAGGTCACCCCCTTACCCTCCTCTTTTCAAGAGAAGAGTCCAAGTATGTTCAGCCTTTCCTGATAGGTATAACCTCTCAGTTCTGGGGCCATCCTTGTGAATCTCTTTTGCACTTTCTCCGGTGTATCTACATCCCTTTTATAATGTGGGGACCAGAACTGCAGTGTAAGTGTGGTCTAACCAAGGCTGTATAACAGTTTACCATAACTTCCTGCTTTTCATTTCTATCCCTCTAGAAATGAACCCCAATGCCTGGTTTGCCATTTTTTATGGCCTTATTAACCTGCGTTGTTACTGTTAGTGAATTGTGTATGTGTACCCTGATATCCCTTTACCCCATTTAGGTTTTATTTTCCAGGATGTATGTGACCTCCTTATTCCTTCTACCAAAATGTACCACCTCACACTTTTCTACATTGGAATACATTTGCCATTTGAATGCCCACTCAGCAAGTTTATTAATGTCTTGCTGTAATGTGTTGCCGTCCTCCTCTGTAATAACTACTCCCCCCAATTTGGTGTCATCCACAAATTTTGAAATTGTCCCGCTGATTCCCGAGTCCAAATCATTAATGTATATTGTGAACAACAGTGGGTCCCAATAACGATCCTTGTGGAACACCACTGCCCCCCCCCCCCCCCCCCGCGCCAGTCTGAGAAGCTGCCCTTTACCCCTACTCTGTTTGCTGTTTTGTACCCAACTTGCTATCCATTCTATTTCCCCCGACTCCACACCTTATTAATTAATCTATTATGCGGTACCTTATCAAACGCCTTTTGGAAATCTAAATATATTACATTTACCACATTCCCCTCGTCTACTCTCTGTTTCCCCTTCAAAGAATTCAAGTCTGACCTTCCTGTTTGAAACCCGTGCTGACTATTCTTTATTATGTTTTCCGTTTCTAGATGTTTTTCTATTACCTCATTCAGTAAGGATTCCATTACCTTTCCTACCTTCGATGTTAAGCCGACAGGTCTGTAGTTCCCTGGGCTTGATCTGTCTCTGTTCCTCTGGCACTACTCCCGTTTCTAATGGGTTATTATACATGTATATATTTAATATATATTATATTAGAGCAGTAAATGAATACAAGCGACTTGACATCAAGCTGGCATCCTGAAAACCGCCAACTCCTCACTCAAAGAGAGGAAGTAATCCTTGAGGATTTATGGATGGCAGGGTAGCTGAGTTGCATTAAGAATGTAAGCCAGGAAGAAACATCTCATCAATGGCCCATTGATTGGAGCAGGATATAAACCATAGCTTATCTTCCTTCCACTGTTTGTGCAGGAAAGAGATATTACCATAAAGCCAAGTTACTGAAGATGGCTTCTTTTCCACTAGTGTGTCAAAGGATGTTGGAAAGTCCTATTGCGGCCAAGTAGATTATGTTCGAATATGGGAACCGTCCAAATTCAGATGATTAGCAGCGAAGTCGGATATTAGTTGTTCTTACGACAGGAATTCAAAATATATTTGCAGTAAATCAATAAAGGATTTAACACACAAATCAGACATTTGACTCCAATTAATTAATCATGGAGTTGAAAGGAAACTGGATTAGCTGTTGGAAACGGGAATCGTAGTCGATTTTAACCTTCCCCAACTGGTGACGAGGACAGTCAAAGCACTCGTTACCCTGACAGAGACGAACTAACAGCGAACAGACCAGGATCCATACCAGCAAAGTGCTGACCCTGGCAGGCAGTGTACTTTAACCACTCCGCTGCTGTTGGTACTGGGCTGACTGGAACCCTAATGAACTTTACCCATTTTGTTCCTCATTCAGGGAACTCTCCAACTTCTGGGGCCAAACTTCGGTGCTGCTCCCGCTGACAAAAACTCATCAATAATTTAACAAAGCAAACAACAGTGGCTGAACTGGAAGAAATCACTTACCTGGAAGAGAGAGTCCTGCCATCCGTGGACAGTAGGTTACACCAGCATTAAATAAGGAAACCCTGCAAATATTACTCTAAAATATTGAGGTATGTACTCAAACTAATTCTGACCGGAAATAAAAACTTCCCTCTGCTACTTAATTACTTTCCTGAAAAATCTTCCTATGGACTGCTGACGCAATGTAAGGATTTACTGGAGAAAGACGACTAAGGTCCATCCAGTTTGCCTTCCATCATCCTGGCAGTCGCACACACACATCATGTCGCAAACTATATCGCGCCTTCAGCCTCTCTGCCCCCACCCTCTGGAACTCCATCCCACATTCCCTTCACCTGGCTCCCTTCATGGCTCACCTCAAGACCCTCCTCTTCAACCATGTCTTGACATCAAGCCCTGAAGGCAACCGTTTGTTCTTACTTTATATTAAAATAAATCCAAGACTTAAACTGCTGCTCATTTGCTTTCCTAAACCCTAATCACTTTGCATCAATTCACATTACATCTCCAAGGCGATCTGTGCAAACACAGGATATACAGTGACATTATTCAAATTTTGTTTTAATAGCTGTTAAGTTACAATGCTCATTTAACAGCAAGGACCATTCTGGTACCACAGAAATTTAATACACAAGAAAAAAAACTGTACAGATACAGAGCAAAAACATAGTATTCACAGATGCAGGGAAAAAAAACATATACGTATTCACATCTCTGTTTACAGAAATCGCAAACGAATCCTGGTCTTAAAATGTTTACCCTAAATAGCACGATTTTAGGAGCAAGCTGAACAGTTTTCAATGGACCACTGGAAAGAATTAGAAGACTATTTCCCATCCATACATCTCACTCCCCCCACCCACCCACCCCCCTCAAAAATTCACACTAGTTTTGCAGAAGGATCATCTAACCGGATAAAGATGTAGTCACACACCTTACAAGCTGGGTTTCAAATTGGAATTGTTTTTGGTGGGTTTCAGACTGTGACATAATTGTGATTAGAAACCAAGACGGTAAGAAATGTGCAACTTTTAAAAATGAAAAACACAGCAATACACCGTCTATGTGCTCCCACCTAACCATGTCAAATGCAAGAAGTCAGCGTGAAGTTTTAAAAAAACTCCATATAAGCCACGTATTTCCTTTCTAAAATAGGCTTCAGATGAGAAGGGACCTACTTCAAATGCAAATATCTTCCATTATTATGGCTTCCTTTTTTGCCCTTTGTTTTTTTTTTAACTTATACACGGCATTTCAACATTTTCTGCATCTTTGGTTAATGTCACAGAGCATGGGCTTATTTTTCTGTTAACATTACAGATCGGTCTGTTCGTCACAGTTGAGACTTGTGCTCAGTGTGTTGTCTCCAATTCATTTCTACACAGTAAAAACACCCCCACTCTGTAATCCATATGATCCTATATTCTTCTGAGCTACAGACAGTTGATTAAAAGCCTCATCTTTGCAGTGCACTTCATTACAAGACACGTTTCAGATCAACAGTTTGATTTACCGCCATTCTGAGAATTCTGATTGATGGTGTGTGTATAGGACACCAATATTTTCACAAGTTCAACAACCTGTTTTACTTCAGCTTAGCTCAAAGCCTGCTGCTGACTCAATTGCATAAAGTAGTTTGCTCCTCATCAGATTTTCATCATAAAACTCTGGAAGCTTCAGTAGGTTCATACAAGTACTAGCTGTCGGCAATCGCTCCAAGTCAGTCCCTCCATTTTGTATGCAAAATGCAGGATATAGCTCCTAAAGACAAATCAAAAAGGCGGTCAGATGGTTAACCTTAATTAACATATCATTTCGCAAACATTAGCTTGTTTAAGCTATTTAAAAATTATATATTTTAGCCCCCCCATCAGTTTTCTTTCATAGTCCTGAAAGATTATCTGAGACCTCTCGAGGGGAATTCGGAGAATGAATACCAGTCAATACTAATTCATAAACCAGTCTCTTAAAACTCTTAAAGCATTTTTAATCTTTGGAAAGACCCAAAAAGTATCAGTGCAGACAATCACTGAAATCTGCAAATGTATTGTGTACCAGTTTGTAACAGCATCAGAACATTGCGAGTCAAAGTCTAAAGGAAAAAAATATCACCCATCAAAGTTACTTTTTTCTAATCTTTACCTTCAACGGTCAAATAACACGTTATCTGACAATTGAAACTAAAGGAGACTGAATTACCTCAAAGGCCTTTTACAGATCACAGAATGTCTTTACAGAATCTTTTTACGCTGAAAATTATCACAGATTTGCCAGTTTTATATCATGGAATGATGGATGTCATTCAGACAATTAACCTGCCTTTGCGATCAGGTTTTACAGAATCACCCATAGAAGCAGCTGCACACTCATACAGTGGTAAAGCTGATCAAACAGCAAGGGACCAACTCTTCAAGAGAGAGCGTTCCTTAAAAACAATTAATACTTGCTGCTAGGTGATGGTGAGAATGTTTAACACCAGCTATAGTTTACATTTATATAGCACCTTTCACATCGGATTCACCCACAAAATATAAAGTCAATCCACTTTACAGTATATTCTATGAAGCGCTTTGAGACGTCTCAAAGACGTTGGAGAAAGATAACTGACGGTACGGGCAAGGGGATAGGTCTTCAGACAGACCTTGAATGAGGCGAGGGAAGATTTTGTGGAAAAGATTTCAATCATAAAACTGCTTAGCGTTGCCGTTGCCATTGCTTTTGTACTGAATGCAAGTTATTAGGTTTTCCCAAATATCTGAAACTGTGCAAGACAGTTACCCTAAAAAGATGATCAATTTGAGACTGGCATTCCCGCAATATTCTGCAATTTCTCCATCCTTCAAATCCAAGGTAAGCTGCTTTCCCTGATGGTGTCTTAATAATTCTTGTAAAATTCTTACGTAAAATTAAATGATACTTTGCAGAAATTTGCATTAACTGTGGTTGGCAAGGGTAATAGCAATTCATTCAGTAATCTTAAAGTACAACAGAGATTCAGCAATTTAAGACTGGTGAAGTGACTCCTTGAACCTTCTCTCCAACAACCCATTTTTCTGCCTATTAACTTATTAAACCGTCATTGCCTGCAGGATGCGGTATTCAGGAACAAATGATTTTCTGGAAAAGATTTCAATCATCTTCTAAAATGGATTAGCGTTGACAGAGCTATTTCTTTTCTAATGAATTTTTGGACATTTATTGCACTTAATTAAAGATAAGGCAGCATTAGTACAGGGCAAAGTCAAAGAGCAGCCTTTGAGCAGAATGCTTATCAAGCAATGAAACTGCTGGTAAAAATAAATGCAAAGTCGTAACAGCTAAAAATGGATGGGCTTAGAAGCTTTATGCGCTTGGCAGATTGTGTTCGGATTCACATTACATTACTCTGGGCACTTCAGTCTCTTTAGTGCAGGTATAAATCTGTCCACTTATATTACACATGTCTATCCAGCTCTGCCTTCCCCGTACAGTATTATTCTTTATACGATTTAACCCGTCTTGAAGACGCTTGGGTTAATTCACTTCAGATTGCATTCCTCAGGATCCATCTTGATTTACATTACAATTTAGCCGTGCAGTTCCTCTTTACGGGGAGCACAGGGCGGGCTGTTCATGTGGAGCCCATTGAGTCTGGTATCAATGATGCATTAAACGGAAAGAGGCCACATATCATTGTAAGGCCATGACCAAAATAGTGATGTACCAGAAAATGGCAATTGAAAGTGCAGAGGTATTTAGACTAATTCTTACCCACTATCACACAGAACCCCAACGACCAGTGACGAGGACAACGTATGATGCAACTTTGTTTAGATTGTGTGGACACCATTCGCCTCACACCATGGAGAATGGTCAGAGAATTAGCCATCAGCTCCAGCACAAACTGAACAATTTGAGGGGAAAGCACCAAATGCAAGGATTACTATAAGGATTATTATTACTCAGTCAGTCATGAACACGACTTGGTTTAAGATCAAAAAATGGTAACCTGAGTGCAGGCTCCAAAGATTATCCAAAGTGCTGATGACCAACATTTTATTGTAAATAAAAGCCCAGTGAGGAGGAAGAACATGTGGATCAACAAATATGCAGATTTGCAAAAACGAGAGGAAAGTTTACAAGTCCAATGACCATAACAACAAATTACCTTTGTATAGTGCCTTTTAAGACTGGAGGATATCCCAAAGCACTGGACAATATTGATTTAAGAAAAGGTTGTGACTGATTGAGAAATGATGGAAATCAGAGGTAAACGTACAACAAGATGTTTATTTTCTCTTGTCCGAGATTGGAACAAGAACTTTCTAGATATGGGAACAGTATCCATGGCTTTGGCTTATAGAAAGGCCAGGAAAGAGAAACAATTGGCACCAAGAGCAAGCCAAAATTTATTTTGGAAGCTGCTACAGCGATCGAGGAGATTTAAGAATCACACTTGAATTTACAGGAACAGCAGGGACCAGGAGATCAATAACGAGGGAGGATTAAAAGTGGAAGCATTGAAGGTTAGACTTGCGAGCGACGTGATGAAATAGTGCCTTTGAGCAATTAAACAAGGAAGAACAGGATGGATCAATCGAGGGAGGCTCTTTGCCAGGATAATTAAGATCAGCGTTTGAGGAGAAAAATGAGCCAAAACGTTCCCTTTTCTCTTTTGAAGAGCTAGCAACTAAACGATCTCTTAAAAGGTGGTTAAAAAAAACAGCTCAAAAAGTAGAATTTTGATAAGATAAAGTTGGCTTGTGTTCCTTCAGCAGGATTATGATAGACAGAGGTTGTATTACGCAGCAGAACAGTAGCTAGGTTTGAACAAAGATGTATTTTCTTGTGATGGTTGGATATATCGGTATTTCACTGGCTTAGACTGAAAGATCAAAAGAAGAGAAGCAGCATATAGACCAAGGCAAAGCAAATTCTCTGGACCATCCCACTCAACTGATTATTACTGCCAACGAGTCATGTCTCATTGATTAGGCAAGTCTTGCATTTGATATAGCACTTAATATGTGAAAATGTCTCAAAGAGCAGGGAATTGCTGTCAAGGACTAAGTTTTAGGCAAATATGGCAGCCATTACCAACAGCAAGGTTCCCACCAACAGCCAGGAAATGAATGAGCAATTTAACTGGAGGATTCTTGGCTAAGAACCCGGAAACATTTATTTTCTAATAGTGCAATAGATCTTAGTATCTACCTGAACTGGCAGATGGGCGGGTTGTGGGGGGGGAATAGAAAGGTAAAGGAGATTGGAGTAAAGATACAAAGTGAGTGCAGCAATGAAGAGTGTGTTCTGTGAAGCGCTTTGGGACGTCCTCCCGCCATGAAAAGCACTATATCAAATGCAAGGATTATTACTATTATTATTAAGAGAGTTGGAGGAAGGCTTGAAGAGCAGAAAGGGAAGAGAGAATTGGTTCAATAAGAAGAACATGACAGAAGCAAAGATGGGAAAGAGAAATTAGATAAAAGTTCAGAACGTTGGAGATATTAAGTCTCCTTCAGAAATGCTCAGCTGGGGGTTAAAAACACGCAGGAAACCATCACTATGAGTAAGAGGATCCAAACTGACTGCGTAATACATGTATGCCTCCTACACATGGAAATTTCCATTTCTGGAGCAGAACACGCACCCTCTCCTTGGAGGGACACACCTGCTTCCCCAGTTCTGGCCAGTATTAGTTGCAGGTTGAACAGAGCCAAAGCTTGAGGACCCGGAGTGGGTAACTTCTGGAGTTTAACCAGCTAAAACCACATAACTTGCCATCAAAAACATTGTCTGACAAGCTTCCCGTTGCTTGTCCAGGTAAAAACACCCTAGCTATTAGAGCTTTGGTTTGTAGGGTTAAAAGGACCTGAGTGGAAAGAATCACTGCCCCCAGTGACTGGTCTGTCATTCCCATGTTCTGCCGATGAGCCAGTCTGGCCGTGCTGTCATCAATGCCCTGCAGTACTGCAGACCCATCTCAGCAACCGGACTATCAAGACTGTCACAGAGGATTGACTCAAATCCAACAGCCACTTTGCTCTGAGGTGGATGAAATAAGGCCCCTCTGCAGTCAACAATATGGCCACTCATTTACATCAACAAGTCCCTCATCAAACAAAGGCCAAGGCTGATGGTGGAGTCTAAATTGGAAGCTACGTTCAAAGTTAAGTTTCTGAATTCCAACAGCTGGAGCAAACTCATTCAATGTGTTTAGTGTGTAATGTGTGATACACAAAATCAATTCCTAACAGTCAAACATGTAAAATACCTAAATTACAAGCAAACACACTTGACAAGATGACCTAAGCCTTCAATCACAATATAATGTGAATAGTGAAGAATTACAAAGGCTTGGGAAGACTAACTCAGCCAGAAGAATACATACATTAGATAAGGATAATTTGCCACCTTTTATCTGGTGTTATTTGTTAAATAATTCCTAATGCGTGATATTTATTCTTGTATTAAGTAATTACCAACTCGTAAACCTAGGCAGTTTTATTGATCGGTAGGTATTAACAGCAAGGCTTATACTAACAGTGTCACAGCAGGGAAGATTTTTTTATTTACAGAATCAGTTTGAAGTTGTATTATGGAAGTGATAATTTTATGATAACTGAAATTAAAATTAAAATGGTGTCCAAAATATCAAATTGCAAAAAAAAATTAAAATTCAGATAACAAGTCAGACAACATTCTCCAAATTTCCCTGAGGTAAACGGAAGGATTTTGTTGACTCCTGAATCACACACAATTTCCTGAAGCTAAATCTACTCAAACAAAAGTTCTCACTTCACATTAATAAAAAGGTACAAATGTGTGATCATCGGATTACACCGAAACCCAATGTGTGTCGTTTGGGTCATAATTCATAATTATACTCTAAATCTGTGAAAAATATAACTACCACACCGTACTGCATCAAGAGTACAAATACACAGTCACTAACACATCTCAGAGACTCTGAAGCACTTTGAGATGTTTTGACACTGAAGCCAACAGCAGTGCGTAAACTTAGTGCATTTCCCTTCTCTCCTCGTCCCTCCCAACAGCTGTGACTAAAGACGTCAGCAAATTGAGCACAGACCTTTCTGATCTGCAATTCTCAGTACAAAAACAGTGCAATACTCTTGAGCCACCAGAGGGAACCAGATACACGTCTTCTGGTGTAAAGCAGTCGAGATCACCATGGCTAAACCTGAATTAATTATGAGATCGGTATCAACTGCATTGAATGAGGAAAAGGTAATCTGACCATCACCTTCAAGACTTACCATGTGCTCCGTAGCTCACGCTGGGAGTTCTCGGACTCTGCTATTCATATACATATTCGCTGCATTCCTGTTTTTCTAATTAGAGTAAATTTCTACGTGTGTGCGTGTTTGTGTGTATATTATATATAGATCCAAAGAATACTAGGATCTGCTAACGTAAATTGTACATTCACATATTAAAACAGCGGAAGATTCCTACAGTCCATTATAAACTGTAACACACAACCCTCAATTTAGCTTTACCTTAAATCCCAGCAGTGGAGGTCGAGAGCAACTAGTGACAAACTTCAGTAACTTGCGCTTTTCATCACTGGTGAAACTTTCCACGACGTCCCAGAATATTTTAATGACGACATGGTCTGCTGAATAGCCTCCTAAAGTACAGGGACAAAAAAAATGTAACGGTATCTTTTTCAGAATCGTATATAATAAAACAAAGTACTGAAGGTAATTGGCCTGTTACTGGCTGATATGCAGTAAACTTCACGTTTCAATAAGCATTTTTGAATACTGAAATGCTGGAACATAACGTTAAATGTTTTAGTTTAAATATATTAAGTATATATCTCTGCCCCAATCCTCGAGAGCAATCCAGTCACACGACTGTTTGTGGGACACTGCTGTGCGGAGTTGGTTGCCTTGTTTCTCACACAAAATATAGTCACTACGGTTTACAGTATATTCTGCGAATCGTTTTGAGATGTCTCAACGATGCTATAAGGTGCTATATTAAATCAAGGATTATTATTAACACTTTATTAAGAAAAGGTACTATACAAATGTAATGTGTTGTTCTTGTAGTTCTTGGATATACTGTTCGAGTTACTGCACTCAGATTATCATTTCTGCAATTTAAATATGAATATAACCAGCAAAATTTACCACTTAAATATGTTTTCTCCTCTTTCTAGAAGAGTAACGTAATGAAGATTTAAGACTGAAAAGACTCCTACAAACATAAGATCAAGACTTCATGGCTAGCCAATGAATAAAACCTCCTTAAAAGTGCCATAAAAAAGCATTTCAAAATGGTCAGGATAGTTATTTTAACCCTGACACTTAATCCATGAACATAAATCACTTTGAAGGTCCCTTATTCCTTAACAATGACTTGAACAAACACAAAGGCAATTATGAAGCCAAAATAAATAAAAATAAATCAGATCAACTATCAAATTAAGTCCTCACCCTAGATACAGCACTGGCTCAATGGATCTACTTATTAATCAGGAATTATGGTAACTTCCTGACAACTGATCTGTAACCACAAGCTTATATTATACACATTAATTAAACAGTACCTCAACCATGTGTGTTTATTACACCTCAATCTGCTGAAATAAAGAGTGGCTAATTTACTTGGTAACAATCTGCGGATGAAGCTTTGCTGAGATCTCGGGCATTGGACTATATCAAATAATATTGCTAATAAAAATATTCTTTTTCCACACTCTGGAGTTTATTTGTGAGAAAATTTAGATCACAAACTTGCATAAACCAATTCAAAATCACTGTCCTTGGACTCCAAGATCAATCAGGGTTTCTGCTCCTGATTGTACTATTCAGAAACTGTCCCAGTAGTAACGTGGATTTTAGTAAAGACAATTAATTCCCTGCTCTATTAAATTGCCTGGCGAAACCCCATTGACGGTCATACAAAATCAGCTCTCAGAGGGTTGCCAGTGTTAGATTCACAAATCACCTCCTCCAGGAGAGGAAAGGGAATAAAACTAGTTGATTTATTTGAATTTCTTTCAATGCTCATTTTTCCGAGTCGGCAAAAATAATCCCACTCAATAAAAGACCATTGATGTTTCAGATGGTGCTTACTGTACAGATTTGCTTAAACACAACAACAAAATGAAATGAACCCAGTATGACAATTAAAACAAATTCACATCCTTAGGTTAACATGTTAATTTACTTACCTGAGTAGTTTGTGAAGTTTTTGAGATCATCGAGATTGATCGGAATCTGTGCTCCAGAAATTAAAACCTGACAGGAGGGAAAAGGAATTAAAGACAAGTTTTAAAAAAAAACATACTGGTGTTTCTAACAGCTCTATAATAAATATCGCTTCGAAATTCGTCAGGTTACTAGGAGTGGTGACTGTGACCTGCCATCTGTCGACAGCATCAAATAGCAACACATTTGGAACCAAGTCGGGAATTCTCCTCTGACACCACTTACTCTTGAAATGGAGTTCCAGCAAATTGATGTGACTGACCTCTGGCTAATGGGAGAGATTCCAATTTTCAACATGGAGTCAGTCCTTTAAGAAATGCCATTTGAAACAGTGGAGTTTTAGAGTCCTTAAGAATTTTTTTGTTTAAAAAAAACACAAGTGCAACATTCTGGGGAGGAGAAGGGGGAGGCAGTGGAGAAGAGGGGCGGTTTGGTTGGAGAGATGGAGGAGGAGGAGGAGGAGAGTGTGAGAAGAGAAGGAAAAGCTCTTCTCCTTTGATGGATAAACATCTTCCATTGTGGCATTTGAGAACCACAGGGGCAACAAGAGTTACACAGCACAGAAATCTCACCCAAATTGTTTTACCTGCAATTCCTGTTGGTCAAACATCCTCAGCCATTCCAGATTGACAACATTTGCCACCCCCTGCCTGAAGGCGAGGCAATGTGGTCGGATCTGTTTATTGAGCCTGTAGTCTGCTACAAGGTGAATGTATGCTATCCTGTTAGCACTCGTGACAGGAATATCCTTCCCACCTGCCTTCAATTCCACCACCTGAAACACACACATACACAAATGCTTTTAGTCAGAATAAAATGATCTTAGCCACACTCCCTATTTTTCGTGTCACCTGCAAACTCAACTCCTAGAGTCCTTTAGCTCAGTGGTTAGAGCACTCGCCTCGCAAGAGAGTGACAGGGGTTCGATTCCCAGGCAGGGCAAAATGTGTGTGTGTGTATCTATATAATATATATATACCCCCACACACACAAACAGTTATACTACTGTCACACCATTAAATTACACTGCTGTTAGGTGCCGTGTGAAGGGGGCTACATAAATGTTATTGTTGGGAGTATAATAATAAAAATCCAATAAAAAATTATACTTATACGGCGTCTTTCACATCGGGAGGATGTCCCAAAGCCCTGAACAATCCTGGCTTGGCCCCCAAGCTGGGGATGGGAGTTAAGTCTGTGCATGGGGGGTGAGAAGATGACCGAAGGCGTGGTCAAACAGGTAGATCCTGAGCCGGACAGATGTGTTTTTTGATAAAATATTTTTATTGGATTTTTTTGGGAAAAATCATCCTTTGCAACTTACAATTAATGAGTAAAAGCAGGATTTGGCCAAGGCAAAAAAAGTTTCCAAAAATACGCAAATTCAAAACACAATCCCAGAGTGATTGAAATTGAAGAAAATTTTAAAAGGCTTTTGAAAATCTTGATAATAGTTTTAAGAGGGTCACTTATGATTATTTTTGTCAATAAATGATCAGAACATGAACAAATATCAAGTCAAAGAATACATTTTGCATGAGTTCGATTCGCGGTAGGTCGAAACCTTGGGCAAGTTTCCTTACTCCACACACCTGATAATCCCTCAAATAAACAGTAATAAATTGGTCACTTCAATCCACGACTGTTTGTGCGGACGCTGCTGTGCGCAATTGGCTGCCGCGTTTCGCCCACAAATATACAGTCAATTCACTTTACAGTCTATGCAGTGAAGCGCTTTGGGACGTCAAGAAGACATGAAAAGCGCTATATCAAATGCAAGGATTATTATTATTATAAATTCTGAATGACTAAAGTCACTGTCACACCTATCCAAACACTGAAGTCTTAATCTGTTGTTTTAATTGTCTCCCTCCCTCCCGCCCTCCCTCCGCTTGTTCAAGGTTTGTCTCCAGACACAAGTCTTTGACCCTCACCTTTCCCCTCCCATCTCCTCGCACTCCCCCCACCTGGGGTACCCAGCCAGCAGTGTAAAGTGCCTTGAGACAACCTCTCAACGTGAAAGGCACAATACACATGTAAGTTGTATTGTAAACACCACACACTACTTGTGGGAGTTAATCGAGGCATTTTTACTACCAATTTTAGTGTATCACTAAAAAAATGTTATTTAAAGGTGGGAGCTTGTAAATATTTAAGTATACAATATAAAGTTCAATAAAGTTTACTGAAAGACAATTGGTTACATTTGAAATCTCCTTGAGGCAAGAAGTCAGCTTTATGTTTATCTATAATACAAGCAGTCGATATAATATACTAAACACTGAGGTTGAATACTTCTGTCTGTTCTTCATTTGTGAATCTCTCATTTAGTGAAATCTGCTTTATCTCAGTTCACATTCACAGACTTCAGATCAATGAAACCTAGCACACAACTATTATCCCAGGATTCAAAATTTAAGTCAAATATGATAAAATGACTTCATAAAACATATTTAAAGAGAAGTTAATAACACAACGAGAAGCTATGCAAACAGAACAGCATGGCAATAAAATGGCTACAACTAAGATGAGAAACTTAATCCCGAACTTAAATAAAATGCCTGCAGTTCAAATTATCAGGCTTTTATGATCATGAAAAAGGACATAAACATTCAATAAAAACTAGAAAAATAATTGAGAAATCGTTTGTCAGCTGTTTTCTACACAGTTGCTCCAGAACAGCCCTACAAGCTTTCATTCACACCTAATGCTGTTGAAATGGTCAATAAAATGCTATCTCTGTCAAAGAATTGCACAAAGATCACTGCCACAAGCATGCTCTATCTGTTTAATCTGTTGAACAAGCAGATAATTGAGTTAATTATCAACATGGGGGGATGTAGACTGACCTGCGCCTCTCCAAGCTCGTTGTTGACCACTGTGAAATTCAGTCCAAGTTCCTCAACATCACCTTCATAGCTCTTTAAGAAAAGCAGGTTCTTGTACATTTCAGGATCTAATGAGGCAAGGTGATGAATGTCAACATCGGCGCTTGTGCCCAGTAGCTTGGAGAGAAAGAAGCTCGCGAACGGCAGCTCTACCAACATGTTTTCATACAGCGCCTGCAGTAAACAGAAAAGCACAAACACAATGAATGGGATTTATTTTATCAGACGTGGGATGGAAATAAATTGGCAAACCCTTTCCCGCTTTTGTTTAGAGACAATATTCAATCAATACACAAACTAATAAAATAATGGAGCATGGTGGTCAAATCTTCCACTTTCATTCTGATTTTCCTGCACATGTCCTGTTCTAATATACTGTATAATTTACAATTATATAACCCAATGTTCAGCCACTACTCCTTGCTTCATTCACTTAAACAACTACAGATCGCTGAATACCATAATAATACCAAAGAAATAACAACTGTTATGTTAATCGTCTGGCTCACTTGGTGTCATCTGTAAGTTACAGTGAAGAACCCTGTGTGTTCTTCAGGTGGTCTAAAAGCAGGAACCTAGAAAAGAGCCCTCCACTCGTCATGATTCCCAGGCAGTCATTTCCGTGTCACCTGCTTTCCCAGCCAGCCAGCAGATTTGCTATTAACCTTAAACACGATCACAAGTCTTGTGTAGATTTTTATGAAATTCCTTCTGAAATTGTACGCGCTTCAATAGCCTTCAATCCTTAATTTTGTTTAACTTCAAAACCAATTCAGGAATTTCACAGCTCAGGACCTACTGTTTGCAAATCTATGATCACTCCTCCCACAGTTACTTTCCCATACAGATGAATATTATTACATTCAAGGATTTTCCCTACTAATCAAGTTTGCCTAACTTGGTGTATACTTCTCCCCCACACTCTATCTCTTGAATATCAGAAAGGTATTTGCTATTCTCGCCCTCAATAGCATTTATGGAGCTCCGAAGATAATTAACCAGATCCTCATCTGTTTTCGGATTCATTTCCTTATGGATTCCAGGATGCACCTCATCCAGTCCAGGTGCCTTACAGGCATCGAGTCACTGATCTCGACACGTTGCAGATTTCTAAGTGATATGATGAATTTGACACCCTTATATCCTGTTCCACCATAACATTTCTAGCTCTCCTTAAAAGGGACGTTACCCTATGTGAGGGAGTGGTTCCATAAAGGCAAGTTGGAGTTGTCATTATCTGATCTTTAGGACTTCATAGATTTATAGTAATACTTGTATTTGATAAGAGCATCTGTATACCTCAGAATCTCAGGTAACTTGTCAACTGGAGGGACTATTCGCATAAATACTGCTATTAACCACCATTCCCCACTACTCGATCCTTGCACTTTTAAGATAATAATTCTTACTTTTGTAACAATTCAATTAGACTTATTTGGTTACTCCACCATGGACTTGATTTTCCTATGGTTTCATTTTTCTCATAAACATTTTAAAAATCTAATTCACCCATTTTTCGTATCATGTCTCACCGAATATTCCCTGCAGCTCTTTAAATCAGAGTACATAATCAGAATAATCCTTACATTTGATATAGCGCCTCATCATGTCTTTGAGACGTCTCAAAACGCTTCACGGAATATACTATAAAGTGAAATGACTGTATTTTATCGGTGAAATACATATACATTTTGATTTTAAAGTTGGCCTAAAACAATGATGACATTCAAAGTAAGTGATAAATATATACAAATTTCCTAGAAGGCAAAGTTCAATTTTAAATGGATTAACATTTTTTTTACACACACTGTAAATATCTGCACTTTCGATCAAGCCATACACAACCTGCAATTTCTATTCAGTATGCAATAAAATGGATGGTGTTTTAAATACACACTTATGCATAAATTAAAGTCTATTTTAGGTTAACTGTGTAACCCTGCATGTCGGTTGTTTTGTTGATTAATTTCTAATGTGACCCTTTCCATGCTGTAATATGCAAACCAACCTTATTTTTGAACATCTATATTCTTTTGCCCTCTTGCTGTTAATGTTCCTGTTGTGAAGCTACATCAACAACAGAATAAAGAAATGCTATAAGGTACATTTCAACTGTCTATTTTATGAGTATTTACTGCCCAAAATTGTGCCAAGATGATTGAGAATAAAGGATTCATTTAGCTGGAAACCTTTTTAATAATAGTAAGTGCTGCATTTGTGCAATTAATGCAAATTGTGGTGCTATTTGGAAAATAAATGTGAACAATATCAAAAGCAAGATCTGTTAGCTGCCAAATCAATTAAGTAATTTATAGCATCAAGAATCAATAAAGAAAAAAATCTATTTTTTGTTGGAGCAACTTGAATGGCCATCAGTCGGAGCACATTTTGCATAGAATTTCATGAAACTCATCCTAATAATCGCTGATTTTTACCAAATAAAATACTTTTGTCTTATCTGCAAGAAATCTAGTGGTTCAGTATATTTAATTTTGGCCTGGACGAGTCAGGCACAGATGAAATAGAAAAAAAGCCAACTGAAGCTTAAAAGCGTTTTCACTTAAATTGATAATTTACCAATGACTAACTGACCTCACTGTTAACGTTAGTGACAGTGAAGTCTAAATTTTAGCATTTCATACACATGTGAGACAGTGGCAGTAATACACAACTGGCTTCAGATTTTCCCTCTTGAAATGCGGAATGGACTCTGTTTCTACCACCTTACTTGGTCGGACATTGCACGTACCAACAACTGTGTGCAAAAAGTTTCTCATTTTGTTCTTCTATCTACGTCTTCTCATCAGGAACGCTCCTACCCATGGAAGTAGCTTCTCTCTATTTTCCCCCACAAAATACAGTCAATTCACTTTACAATATGTTCTGTGAAGCGCTTCAAGACGTCTCAAAGATGTGATAAGGTGCTGTATCAAATGCAAGGATTATTATTATTAATCTGTTATTCTTCTCCCTTGAGTGAACTAACATTTTGTGTGGGTACATTACTTGGCACCGCTGATTACTGTCAACATTTTAATTGGATCGTTTTACTTCCATTGTGACTGTTTGGTCAAATCAAATTGTACCTTAAACCAGTCCAACAACAACAAGATTACATTCGTATAGCGCCGTTCACGTTGGGAGGACGTCCCAAGGTGCTGGACAGTGTACAGCATTTCAGACCCGAGCTGGAGTCAGGGAAGGAGAAGGGAGGGGAGAAGGGGGGTGACCGAAGGCATGGTCGAAGAGAATAAGATAAACCTGCTTCTGAAGTGTTGTCATTGTGGAACCTTTCAACATATTCCTATATTTAATTATTCAGCTACATCAGAACCATTAAAAATGGGAGCGCTTTTAAATTTGGCTTTTTGTTTTAAGTAATCAGGTCACCGTGAGGATAAAGTTTTCCAAAGCTCTCTTGTCAAAACTCCCTACCTCCATCTTCAATAATCTGATTCACACGAGACATCTGATACCCATTACTCTCACTCGCCCACAAATTTAGTCACTCCACTTTACAGCCTATCATAGCAATATTCTCTTAATTGCCAACAATTCTGAATGGCCATGGGTCAATCGAACACAAATGCACTTAGAAAACAAACAAGACAGCTATGTTATATTCAAACGAGCTGACTAGACATTACTAAGCGAGTCGCATGCAAAATGGAATTTACCTTATTACATGATAAATCAAGGGCGATAACCTGAAGGTTTCCCAAACTGTGAAACATGCTATTACCACATATTTTCACTGCTTATTTATGTTCCTCCTGGTTGGCTGATTTAAAGCCAACAAAATGCAATTACTATACAAACAGAATCAAGAATCATCTCCTAATGGAAAGCTTAATCCAGAAGTGGCCAGTGACATGAGGTAATCCCTTTGGCTGAAAGCTATAAAGACCTTAGTGGACTGCAGCACACTGAACAATCGTGGTACGTGCGTTATAGAATATTTGAGTTCATGATAATTTAATAAATATGGGTGCTAATGAATTTCCTCCTAAAAGGCAATTTTTGCTCATAGGTTTAATATTAAAATACTGCAGGCAATGAAGTCCATACACATAGCATGTACCATCTACATCCTCTTCAATTGCAATCAGAATAGAATTATTCTGTGCGCACAAAATATAGTGTGCAAAAGCCTATTTAACATGATAATATTCAAACAGAGAGCAGTCTTTCCAAAAGGGGAAAAAAAGGGTTTGCCTGTTACGCCTGCACATGGTTTCTTGAAATGGGCTTGAACAAAGAACAGTTTGATCGCTTCCCTATAAAACAGCTTACATTCGTATAGGTGCCTTACAGTATATTCTGTGAAGCGCTTTCCGAGACGTGATAAGACACTATTTCAAATGCAAGGAATATTATTACTATTATATTAACATCAGGAGGACATCCCAAGATGCTGGACAAACAGGGATATGCATCCGAGCTGGTGGTTGGGATCAGGAGGGGTGGAGAGCGAGGAGGGTAGGGTTAGGAGGGTAACCAAAGGCACGTTCGAAGAGGAGGGTCTTGAGATGGGTCTTGAAGGAGGTGAACCCCAAAACAAATGGAAAGGTCCGCTTATTTCACTGAGACGCTTAGATCCCCAGGAAAGTCACAAAATGACACTCACCTTTCCCAGCATTCTCCCCAGAAAGTAGTAGTGTCTAGTGAAGTGATCACCAACCAACATCTTTGCTGCTGGGTTCGGGTATAGAAGACCCTCATTTGTGGTTTTGAAAAATCCCTGGTTTGGGTTAAACCCCGTCTTCAGCAGTTCATTAAGGAACTCTCTGAATATTCCTCCACCATCAATTCCAGCTTCATCCAAACCGTGAGCATTTAATAAATGGACACGTATTCTTTTCCTCAGGTCAGTCTCTGTAAAGGAGAAATCTTAAAAGTAATCTTACCTATCATTTTATATAACAGTTAATGTGCTTCTCTTAATAGTAACAGTTTGCCTTGCCATTCATTTCTATTTCCAGCGCTTTGGGAAGTCCTCCCGACGCTGTACAAATTCAATTTTGTATTATATTTTGAGTGGAGCATGAAGAAGAGCACTGTGCTGTTGTTTTAGTCCCCTGCCCAGAGCTCAGCAGGCAATAAAACTATTATCCCCTCACACCACAGCATTGCTGCTCATCATACAGGCACCAATGGTAGAACAGCATCGAAGTAGAACAATTCCCCTTGGAAGCAAAACACCTCAAGCCTTTGTTGCCACATATTGCAATCTGAGATCCAAGCCTAAAATTGCTTATTCCTACAGGCAGAAAAGGACAATTTTGCCCTTGAAGAAGAAAATGTTTAGAAGGAATACTTTGCCAAGATCTTCAGCCTCACCTTTAATTCACTTTACAGCATATTCTGTGAAGTGCTTTGAGACGTCTAGAAGACGTGAAAAGCACTATATCAAAAGCAAGGATTATTATTATTATTATAAATCCCTGGAAAGGATTGCACCACCTTATCTCTGTGATCTTCTCAAACCTTAATACCAAGCTCGCTCCATCCACTTCACGTCAACCACCCTACCATCAGTGGTGAAACATTCAGCCAACTGGTCCTCCCTCTCTGTAACTCCATCCTCCAACCCTCCTTTTTGACCACGCCTTTGGTCATATTCCTCCAACCCCCCCCCCCACCAACCACCAACCTCCCAGCTCCCACTGCCAGCTCCAATGCAAACCCTGGGCTGTGTAGCCCCTTGGATGTCCTCCCGATGAGCAAGGTGCTATATAAATGTAAATTTGTTGTTTATGCTCAAAGCACTCCAATTAAATGTAGAAAAATATTATAAAAGGAATCAAAGAAAATGTTTGCTTGTTAAATCACCTACCGTTTTCTGGTGACAATTTGTCATAGGCATCTTCGTAGATATAGTTTCGCCGAATGGTGACATTTATCCCGTCTAAAAATGGCCCCTCCCCTTGAATTTCCTGTTTGTCAGCGAAGATAAGTCTCTGAAAAATCTGAAAAATAAATCATGAAATGAAATGAAGCTACATTTTGACAAACACACACCGTGCCAAACTCAGACTGATTTTCTGCATATACCTTTCTGAATCTGTCATCATTTTAGTTCACATACTAGCGAGTAAATAACGCAACCATTTTGTCAGTCACTTAGTTTTCCTATTCTAGTGCCTTTATTATAAAATTGAGACTTACTAACACAACCAGTTTCATTCATTATCCACAAGGCAATAGGCTCCAAAAGTTAGGCAATGTACAGATTGCTTATATTTACTCTTATTTTTTCAGCCCATTAAAATTGATTGTTCCAAGTCTAATTCCGCTTTTGCCGGAAGCCGGTACACCACAGTTTAGTCTAATCCCATTTTTAGTCAAGGGGTCCTTATGTACTAGGCAGCGGGGCAATTATAGACCGAGTCTGCAACAGTTGAGATCAGCTATCTATCTTCTTACAGGCTGCAAATCAACTCAACACTCTCAAAGTCCTTTTCGCTCGATTTTGCTTTCGGCAGCAATTGTACCAGTCTAGTCACTGGAGGGAGTTGAGCGGGTTCCTCATCGAACCATCTAGAGGTTGCAGCAGAATTGTCCTTACCTTCACTCTTTCTTCAAACGGAACCACAAAAGGTAATTCAGTTAAGATAGCCAGGTGACGTTCTTCAGACACTGATAACTGAGCAGGTTCTTGACCAACTGGAAGAAGCACAACAGGGGTGGGGGGAACATTAGCTTTGTTTTTAAGTTATAGTTTCAGATGTAGAAGGTAAACCTGACTGACACGACCGAAGATACGATACTATTCACATAATATACAGAGTTGTGTATAATTAAATACCATGTTAAAGAATTTCTTATTTTAAAATCATGAAAAAGAACATCCTGGGCCAGAACTTGCAGTCAGGCCCCACAACGATTACAACAACTTGCATTTGTGTAGCACCTTTTACGTCACGAGGACATCCCACATCACACTTTGATTTAAATTTCATTCACAACTTGAGAAAATGAAACATCAATCACACACTTCAACAACAATACTAAACATAATAATCTAATAGAAAGAGTACAATTGACGACACAGACATCCAAAAGATAGTCATCACCTATCAAAACAAATCAAACTTGAAAAAAAATCAAAACTCAAGTACAAACCCCTCGATATGGAATCAGCTTAGCAGTACAAACCAGATAGCAGAGACGAAAATAAAGGTTCCTTTGACAATGCAAAAGTAAGTCAATTTTGCAATTCACATCTGGAACTTGAGAGGCCAACACTTAAACCAGTCCTATCTCCTCCCACCACCAGAAAATGTGATCAGTTGACAAGTGATCATGGAAATATCTGCATGTCATTGACAATGGGAATTATACTGCCCACACAAAAATATAGCTTCACCTTAATCAAATCCACCCCAGCCTAGCCTACTTGCCAGCCAAGCAGTGTCAAGAACTTTAAGACTTCCTCCTTACGTGAAAGACACTGTATAAATGCATCTTGTACATGCCTGAGTAAATACAACTATGGAGCCTGAAAAAAAAATGCAAAAACTGTATGTAGTCATCACGTGGATCCTTTATTAAGTCAGGGTTTGTTTGTTCTTAGTTAACAAAGGGTTAAAGGCAATTAAAGCAAAAAAACTGCCTGGACAGCAAAGCTAAACCACTAACCTACTACTGAAGCTCAATTATTCTGGTCAATTAGTCAAGTTTATCTGCATTTCTCCATCTTTTAAGAGAAATATGTGCTCAACTGGTCAATGCACTGTCTATTTATCATTCTAGTGCCTGCCATTTAAGTAAATGAAAAGGCCAAACAAACACAGCCATATGTGCTTTAATAGTACTTTCACACTAATTGGGTTTATTCCATATGGAGTCAAGTGGCATTAAACAAATCATACACACATTGTTATCAGCTTGCTTCACACCACACTGCTAGCTCTGCACTACATTCAAAGAAGTTGTTTCAACACTGAAGGCAAAGTTGGGAAAGCATGGAAATATTCTAGAACCTGGGATCACTCAAAGCCTTGCCCAAAGTCTAACCAACGTGCTGATAAAGTGAAATGTATTTCCACGTAAAGATAATATTGTCCCTTTATTTCAGTGATTTATTTTCAGGTTACAAGCTGATTGCACCTTTATATTAGTCGGATTTTAATCACAATAAAGGAAGAATTTAGCAAAATTCTAAAACAATTCTGATCTGCGATCTGTGCTTATTAAGTCAGCACCTTTAAATTAAATGTTCCATGTTTTTAAGAATTAAACTGCTCAGAGGTAGTTAGCATTAATAGGCAAATACATAGACTAAGCATTTTGTTGAAGACTTACTACTAAAATGACGTGTTAAGTCACTATATAAAATGCACAATAAACCTAATAAAATTTTGAAGCAAATGCACATATGGTCTCTTCCAAAGAGGTTATTAATGGAGCAGAACAAACAGTGGTTCTATTTATTATACTGTTTATGACCCACAACTAACCCAATTTAAATTGTTCAGTGTACAGAACTATAAGGAAAGACAAAAAGGCGCTTATATGCATTTTTTTCTTTCACCATCATTCAATCTCGTCATCTTTGACGAGTTTTAAGGTGTAAAAATAAAAGCTATGTATTCCTGTCACTGGTATTTAATAATATCCATCATTCCTGTCTGTGAAACAGACATAACTTTCTCCAAAAAATTTCCAGACCATTAACGGATTGAGCAGTGAGTTCTGAAATAAACCACTTAGCTTCAAAAGATAGGGAATGAACATATGTCATCTTAAAAAATGCAATTACCATCCAGTGTTGACTGCAATGGTCCTATTCTTCCCATTCGGCGCATTCTCCAGACATGTCTTGCTGAAGGCACGTACAGCTGTGTGACCTAGTGTTAAATAAAGCAGTGATTATTAGTCCAACAACCTTTGAGGATTTTAAAATTTAAGGTTGAAATCTGTGGTTTACGTCTTATTTTAAACGTCAGGTTATCAACAGGTCAGTATTACTTTGACAAATAGTGACAGATGTCAAATAATCAATTCAGTATTGAAAAGCAAAGCAGCTTCAAAATAGAAGTAATTAAAGTAAGTAAAGCATTAATTTCCAGGTATTTTGTTATTATATTGCTGCACTAAACACTATTGCAGTTCAATATATATCACCAATGCTTATTATACTCTGCAAAGTGGGAAAGAAAATTCAGCAAATAATTTATCCTGGAGAAATTACAATTTATAATACAATAAACAATGCTTTAGCTAAAAAATGACCAACCTTATCTGCTCGGATGTTAACTTGATCTGAAAGCCAGTGATCATTAGGACAGAATTGTCTTCTTGTGTCTCTGCACTTGAGCATTTTCACTAAATTTGAATTACCTGCATCAAAATAACATAAACAAATGGCATGAGCAACAATACTTTATCATAACAACAATAGTTGCATCTGGTAAATTATCACAGCATTGAAACATCTCAAAGCACTTCAGAGGAATTGACTTTGTAGTGTAGGGTCTGTATTAGTAGGCGAACATATCAGCCAATTTGCGCACAGCTATGTCCCACAATTTTATTTGGACGTTTCCTGGCCAGGATGTCAGGAAAAGCTCCCTATCTTTTCAAATAGTGCCAAAGGGATCTTTAACATTCACATGACCAGGCAGGCAGAACCCTGGTTTAACGTCTGATCCAAAGGACAGCACCTCCAACAATGCAGAGCTACCCCAACAATGCATTAGAGAGTCAGCCTTGACTATCAGCTCAAAGTCCAAACAAGGGACTTAAACCCCCAACCTTCTGACACAGTGGAGTGACTAGTCCGTCTATTCAAATGGATGTTAGAGATTCCATGGTACAATTAGCAAAGAGAAGGAAGTTTCTCCTCAATTACGAGCCAACAATCCCCCAAATAAAACTGGTCATAGCCGTTTGTGGGGCATTCCTGCGTGCAAATTAGCTGCCCTGTTCACCTACAGAATACACAGTCACTACACTTAATTCCTGTGGAGCAATTTCAAGACACCCTCAAGACGTAAAAGGTGCTATATCAAACGCAAGATTTTTTTTCAATAATCCTTGCATTTGACAAAGAACCTTTCATGTTAGAAACACCCTTAGCATTGCTCTGGAGTGTCAGTTTAGATGTGCCCAAGTTACAAAAGCCTCTTAGCAAAGGGTTTCAGAATTGTTTTTATATTCTGTATTATTTCTGAAATAGGTGATATCTTGCAGCACTGAAGCTTTCTACTGTTTTGGATAATCCTCAAATATATGGCAAGTCAAAATTTTCAAACTATCCTTCAGGGAAAAATACCTTATATGTGGAATACAACATCGCAATAATGACAACTGAAAGAGTCACAATTATCTAAACCTTGAATGTTGCCAAATGTCTCACAGTTCCTCATTGGTATCTATTACTATTAGACACTTCAACCAAGATACTGGGTTTGTGGCAATTCTGATTATTCTTTTAGGATTTTGCAATTTATAAAGAGTATTTACGCACTCTTGTGCTCAAACTAATCCACGTTTTGATTGACAAACGGTATTCTAAAGGTTGTGGAGTTTTTTGTACTGGATTATTATGACTGGATTACAGAATATAAATTCATATAGATCTCCATATTTTGCTTAAATAAGCATTGAAGATCACACGCAATGAGTAAAGCAATGACCTTAGGTTGAAGGAGCCTCAGTTGCTCAGGCTACACATCCACCAGTCAATACATACATGAACCATCTATCTAATGAGCTAAATATAAAATGTCAATGCATGTTCTATTCTTGTCATAAGGTCAACAATCTTGCAAAGTACAGAGTTTGATGATGCCATCAAATGCTTGTTGACAGGACCATAAGCAGACTGACTTTAGTCAATTATTTAAAACATGGCACATGTTAACCCTCTGTAGCAGTGTTTTGGTGATCCGGTTCCTGAGCCAGGCAAGTCAACAAGATTCCAGCGTACCTCCATCATCAAAGTAGCCAGCCCGGCTCGTCAGCAAGACCTACTGGTCGCTGGGGGCTAATGATTCCCACTCGTCCACTATTAACATGCAACCTAAAGCACTGACGGGTAGGCTGGGCGAGCGGGACAAGAAGCAGGATATTTGCCAGGCAGTGCTCACGTGGGCAGATTACATGGTTTTAGCTGATTAAACTAGCTTCACCAACAAAATGTACAATCAATTCAGTTTACAGCATATTCTGTGAAGCGCTTTGAGACGTCTCTAAGGTGTGATCAAGCACTATATCAAATGCAAGGATTGTTATTATTTTAGCCGATTAAGCCACAGCTTTACCCCAATGACCACACTCTGGGGATCCAGTACTTTCCAGAATAAGGTAAACATTTTATCACCTTCAGAAATGTACAGAAATTTCTCGTTGTTTATTTTGAATTATAAGACATTATTTAAACGCATTTCATGCTGACACATCACTAATACCAAGTTATAGTCCAGCTATCTATTGTGCAAGCTACCAGAGCTTAAAATCTGGAGGGAAAGGTATAATTATCCATTATCCATCAATACTTCAATTAATTCTGATTTGGATATTACTTTATCACTCTGTCATTTGAATAGTTTAAAAGACAAATGGCTCAAATTGTCTGTAAATGGCTGACCATATCAATTAGCAAGTGGCTGCTTACTTCAGCATCTCTTGCAAGAACACACATACACAATTCTGCATCTGCAGCAAGCACCAGGAGACCGTCTAAATTATCTTTAGTCTAATTTGGAGAACTATCAAGTTTAAAAACAACCCATTTCTGAGCACAGAGCGACATCAAGGCAGGAAGCACTTGTAAATCAAATCGAACTCCGACTTAATTGCTACATATAAATTGACTAAAATCGGTCAAAAACACAAATTTATTTTGCCAGTGCTTCATCATTCTTCCAAATTATTATATTAATTTTACTAATATATTAACACTGTATTTATCTCAATCAAATCATCATCAGTTACTAAGCCTGCCAGGACTAACAGCTTTCTTTAAGTGCCATACATTATAAAGAATAAGCAGATTGGTTTGACTAGCAGCTATCCCTGACTTGTAGAATGAATAAGCATTCCTTAATTAGCCCATCAGGTTAAGTGCAGGCATTAATGGGTGCCTGCAAAAACTCCAGCATGACATTGCTTTCCAAACACAGCCATGCAGGATCTTCCATTAGCAATATTAATACAAGCTTAGTTGATCATTTTCATTCAATTAACTTCTTTCAATTAAATAGATAGCTTTGTTCTGCTTTAACAAAAGAAGCAATAAAAAATAGAGATGGCTGATGACTTGCAGTGAACATTACTGAGTTATGGGTCAATAAAAAAAACCTATAAATCTAACATTCAATTTTGAAAATGCGTTTATTTTATGCTAACTTGAAGTGAGCGGCTTCAGGTGACTGCTGGTGTTCTTGTCCCTTGCCATTTACAATGTTTTCCCTAATGAAAATTCACATACTTCATTTGCGACACTTCTGGCACTTTCACATATTAAAATACATTGCAGCCTCACCTTGTGGAAACCTCAGTAATCAGGGTAATTCAGGACACTTTTCAATCTAGTTTCTTGTCATTTGAAACCGATGACCAAATTCCCAAACACCAACGAGGAAACCTTATAAAAGGCAAAACTAACTGAATAGCAAGATTTCACTGTTTATAAAGGATGTTGATCACCAGGAATTTACTCTATTTTGTGGGTGAAATGTGGCAGCCAATTGCGAACAGCAGTGTCCCAAAAACTGCCACCTCCCTTGGCTCCCACCCCCAGCTCAGTTATCAAGCCAGGACTGCCATGCACCTCGGGACATCCTTCCGATATGAAAGACACATTATAAATGTAAATTTGCTGCAGTTTTTACATAATAGGACATTGAATCTTGTAAGAAACTTTGCCATTTTTATCCCACGATCCCTCAGGCTCCCATCTTCAACCATCACAGAAGCAGCTCTTCTCTAAACCTAGTGACCTTCAAGCATCATCACTGTAGTGATTCAGTAAAGACATCAAATCATGAGAGAATGTTAAAAACCTTACGCGTTTTCAATTTAACATTTGTTTTTAAGAATGAGGAACTTGGGGCTAAGTAAACCATACAATTGTGAACGGGTACACGTAAGCAAATTTTACAGTTGTATTTATTCACAGGCTCCAACCCCCTACCTTAAAGAGCTGAATCCATCTTTTGCGTTCTGCTTCAATTCTTTGCTGCATTTCTGCATTGGTGCGAACTCCAATGCTCTTAAATGCCACAATGTACTCCTCCCGCACTTCTGGCTTTGTCTCTGGATACGCCAAATGAATGATTCCAAGACAAGCATCCCGCAGGCAACGGGATAACGTCACCAGCTCTCTTAAAGTGAACGGCATCATTGTTGACAACTGCTGGCCCACACCTAAAGTGAGCATCAAAGCAACATCAGCATTTAGCACACAACACCTCACTGCCAACATGCAATGGCGAGGCAAACTTTCGGTTGGCGCTGAGCTCTCAGAGACGCTGCCCCACGTGAAGGGTGATGTAGGAATGTAAGCTGCGAGTTGCAATTTTCCCGGGGTTAGTTAATGCTCAATATTTCTTCCTCATCCAAACTCACCCCAAAACAAGATTAATTAGTGTTGTCATCTCATTTCTGTTTGAGGGGTGTCTGTCATTGGCACAGATTAGCCGTCACATCTCAACACTTCAACACAAACCATGTGAAACGTTTTGAACTATTGAGAGCTACCGTATTGAATGTGATAAATATTTAGTTCATTCTAACTTGCTTATTTGTTCTTAACAGAATTAGTTTTGGGTGTGAACTGCATCACTGAGCAAGAACTTGCTGACTGATTACAACTAATTGGCCTCGGAAAGCAATTTGGGAGTTGCAATTCTTCAAAAGGGCTCATTCATTGCATTTTATCTCTTCCAAGTGTTTGTTTTCCGCCTCCACCTGGAAATTGTTCTAATTACGGAGAACATGACAATGTGTAGAATCACTGGTGATAACCTGGCCTTTCTTCACACCTGTTCTCAAAATGAAAGGCAGGAAGTTCACCTTGATAATGAGCTATTGTTCTGACATGGACACACAAGTGCCTTTCAGAATGCAAGAGAGGACAAAGATCACTAATAATCTGATCAAATACAAACAGTCTAAATGAATGTGATCAATCACATTATATCACACTTTTGAAACTCACAACACAATAACATATTCAGAAATGGAAATTCCAGCAAAATTGGTCCAGCTGCACGTTACCTCCTTCAACTTGTTCCCCAAAAAATTCTTTGTCGTGGACTGAAATAAGGGAGTGGCTGAACAGAGAGCTGAACAGGTAAAAGAGAGGAATGACCCGGTTGGAGTCTTCAAGGGACATCGGAGATCCTCGTGAAATCACCTGCAGCAATGGTACCATAGACCTTGAAGCACACAAGTGAAACACTTAATTGTTGAATATCAGTAAACTTTGCAAACAACTTTGCAGAATCCCACATATGACAGAATTATCTATTTGAATATGAAATACAATTGACAAGAGGAATAAATCACATGCAAATAATCATGAAAAATCCACAGAGAGACACTGCCTTGTCAGAGTACTGTGGTGAACGAGAAGAGTTACAATTATTTTCCCCCACAATTATGCTCGGTGATAATGAGGAATACAGTCAATGCCCCTTAAAAGGAACACTCATCATATTATAGAAAATGCTGGAAATGCAAAAAAGGTGAATATTTTACTTATGACCATTAGGAGATTGGATGACCAGACATATATACCCAAAGATTTTATATGTTGATTTGATTGAACTCTTGCTTCAGCATTGCAACTTTCCAGCATTTGCGGATTCCGTTGACTACTTTATCCAATTGTGCTATTAAAAATGTGCTATAGAATGTGCATTGGAATCAGTGGTTGAGCACGGGTTCTCTTTAATCACAATACAAAGCGCTCATTAACTCTTATCTCTGTTACACCAAATAAAAGACAAAGTCCTGGATTCGACTGAAACAAAGCCGTTACTTTTAGATCTCATTGCACCTCCTTCAAAAAGCAACAGGTTTATTTAGAAAGACCATTTGCAAGGTTCCTTTGAAATAACTCATCCATCACTGTTACTCCATTCACTTCACTTAAAGGAAAGTTGAAAGCACATGTAAGCGCCACAATCATTAGCAGAATAAACTGCAAACTTTTTTTTAAAAAAATGTTGGATCTAAAACCAAGTTTCAAATGTGAAAGGACTTGGTTCTAACCCACTGCGGCCTCTCATCACCCAGAACTATTAATATTCACAAATGTGGAAGTCGTGAAGTAGAAAAGTTTATGCTCTTGAGAGAACCTGCAGGTGACGTTCAACAATAACACTGATAATCTTAATATATAGGTTCAGGCAGAGGAAAGAGAGGACATCCAAGCAATATTGCTAGTTATCCTATTGAAACAATTTGTGTCGAATGGTATGACAGTGATAACTGGAGGGGAAATAGATTGTTTTTCAAGATTCACAGCAAATTTCCTTTATACTCTGGAGCTTGTGATAGCGACAAGCAGTTGCGGTAATTAAACCCCGTGTTACATTGTCACACGAGTAACTGTACATTGAGTAACTGTACACTTGTCTGACATGTGGCAATCGCTGCGAACACCAAACATTTGTGCGTGCTGCAATCAGAGACCAAGATTCAGCAAAGCCCGAATGGACAGAACGCACAGGAGTCAAGAAGATGGAAAGTGTGGAGTATTAGGCCCCCACTTTTATGGGTTGATGCAAAAAGGACCCAGGAAGAAAGCCAACACACAGTCTGCATGAAGGTAGAATTCCTTAGTGGACAATAAGACTGAAGGACCTCAAATTGAGAGTTGAGGATAGCGCGAAGAAATATAGCAATCTTCTCCCCACAGCACATTGCCCATCATAGACCCTTGTTTTTACCTCAAGATCTCACTCTAGAGAGTGCTTCCTGTTTGCCATAAATTGCCAAACCGGCTTAATATGGAAGGTTGCTTCAGGTTTCAGAAACATTTCTAACCACACCCACCACCCCACAGTAGCTCAGTTTTGAAATACACAGAGAATGGTACACGTTTGTTCGATCAGGATACGAATAGAGCAAAGGAGTTGAGGTACAGATAGATCAGCCAGAATGGCAGAACAGACTCAAGGGGCTGAATGGCTTTCTCCTGTTCCTCGGTTATGATGTTCCTGTGAAAATGAACGAAAGAGACAGATCTCGGTGTGATTCGCAATATATGCTGCTATATCAGCTGAGGGAGGAAATAACTAATTTAAATAATAAGTGAGGCTGCCCTCTTCTGGTTGCTCTTCAACAACACTAGCTACAAAGTGATGATCGGGTGGACGTCAGAGGAGGACAAAAAGCAGCCCAGGTTCTGATGTCCCCGCAGAAATATGCACTCATGAAGAATGTACGTGGGAAAGTATCAGAGGGCAAGAGTCAACAACAACACAACGTAAGACTTGCATTTGTATAGGGGCCTTTACGTGGGGTAGCTTCTCAGAGCGCTTGGAAGTCGGTGCTTTCAGGAAACGTTTGCAAAGATTTCTTCAACTTGCTCTCCAAATCATTATTTCACTTTTAAGAGAAAATCCTTCAGATTCCCGAGGCTTCCCTGCATGTCAATTTACAATAATAATCCTTGGATTTGATATAGCGCATTATCAAGTCTTCGAGACGTCTCAAAGTGCTTCACAGAAATATGTAGTGAAGTGGATTGACTACGTACTTGTGGGCGAAGTGGCAGCCAATTGCGCACAGAAGCGACCCGCAAACAGTTGTCGGTTGAGATTCACAAGATCCAGGCTTAAGATATAGTTTATGACGGACACACAAGTTACGGTGGACACACAAGGAGTGTATTCCTCAGAGCGAACATAACCCTTCAACAGAATTGAAACAATGCACAGGAAGACACCCACATACAGGGTTACAGGGAATTGAGCAGCGAGAGAGAGAGAGAGAGAGAGAGGGAGAGAAAAAACAATCACAGGAAGAAAATTTTAAAGTTATGAAATCGGGGAGCATTCGATGGGCGATATCCCTACATGATTCTCTTATTCACTCCTCCACCTCTCACCAACTGCTTCTCACCAGCCAATTTCTCCTGCAAATATAGCATTTTCTGCTTCAAGTCCACCACTACTTCTCACTACTGTCCCACACCCCCTCACACACCCCTCCCACACACACAACTAATTCACACGGGACATTCTTCAATCTCACGTATCTTCTGTGATAGCTGAAGCCACTCAACGCTCAATTGGTGAAATCAAGAAGGGAAAGACTGCTCTCTCACAACATCACGGTTTATCCCATAAACATTACCTCAACTCAATGCTCACCTCTTATTGCTCCAACCAGCCTAGCAAACACCAGTAGCACAAACTTCTCAGCCTTCCAGCTGAATATTGTCTTTAATATTGTAAAGACGTCCTCCTGACGTGAAAGGCGCTATACAAATGTCATTTTGTTCTTGTTGTTTGTAACATCTTTCAAAATCTCAGGTGTCTCCTCCACTTTCCACTCTATCCTCTAAGAGATTTGCCACGATTCCCGTTTCCTCCAAATATTTAATCTGAGTCATACTGGAATTTCATCTGCTTTTCTCTCCACTTTCCATTAAAAGCATCTTTATGGCCTTAAAAAAAAGGCTCAATAAATACTACTTCTTGATGTAATTATTCATTGAAATTTATTTTTATTCTCTAGGGGGATTCCCATGACTGCTATCATATGCTGACTGCCCTGCTGTGGATTTCCAGCATTTTCAGTTTGTACGTCAGATTTCCAGCTTTTTTATTTAAAAACACAATATAGATGTCATGATTGACTGCGTGAAGACTAGTTTAAATAAATCAAAAAGCGTTTTAACTTGGCCTTTGAGTTCCAGCAGCAACAACATACACTAAAGAACAATAACGAAGAGTCAACTTTAAAAGAATGACACTAGTATAAATTTAATTAAATTGCACTTGTGACAAATGTTTTGCTCTCAGCATCTAAATGGTTTCATATCAGTGAAATTGCTGTTTTTGATACCCTCACAACCTAAGCCATAAGGAGACTGACCACACCATACCTAAAACTGATCCTTACGAGTTGTTCTTTCAAATAAACATGGGTGTAGCTTTCTGTACAGGGGGTGCAACCAGTTGAAAAAATACAGGTCCGGGCTCCAGGACTAAGAATAGAACACACAGGCTCTTTTCGTGGTAGGCTCTAAGGAAAATGGAAAATTGCAACCCTTAATTATTTTTTTGGGATGTGCAGAATTGATCCTGCAAGCCCGTAAGAGGTTTAAAGCTAATAGCTCAGGTTACATAGAATACAAACATTTATGGCACAAAAGCTAAATTCAAATTGAAATGAATTACAGTACGGGACACAACTGTTGTTACTATGTACAATAAATGGCCCCCTTAAAGGTGCTAAAATGATTTTTTTGTTGAACTCATCTCTGCCAGCAACCACTAACTGAACCAACATTAAAAAAAACAAAAATGGATAAATAAATAATTGGAGTTGAGATACAGATCAGCCATGATCTAATGGAATGGCAGAACAGGCTCGAGGGGCCGAATGGCCTACTCCTGTTCCTATGTCCCTATATATAAAACAAATGTGCTCAGTTATCCGAAACAGGCAGGTACCCATCTAAGTGAACATCAGAACTAAATGACCACAAATTAACCTATTTATTCACAGTATTAGGGAAGCAAAGTATTAGACATCCACTTTCTTACCCTGTAATCATTTTCGTGGTTACAGATGTGATCAAATGCCAAAGGTGCCGTAGAAATCTTGCGTTGAAAGCCAAGCTGTACAGGAGTCTGGAAGAAACCACAAGCTCATAAAGAAGTGTCTGAAAACTGCCTTTTTTGTTAATTCACTTCATAAGTTTTAAAAATAAGTCATGCACAGAAATCAAATCAACACAGAATTGTAGTGTGCCCAATTTGAACCTACAACCACCCACCCCGCCCCAAAACAGAAATACACCAAAATGTTCACATCCCCAATTCAGCACTCAGCGACACTAACTCGCGTGAAGAGTACCTGGTCAAATGCAAGTTGTTGTTGTTGATGTTGAATCAAGAGAAGAAGTGGTACGAGTTTATTTGGGTGAGGGAGAGAAAAGAAATAAAGAAAGGCCTTGTGACAGAATGTACGAGGGACACCCCAAAAGTAATGCTGTTGGAGGCCAAGGCTTCATGGCACTCACCGCTCTCCTTTACTCACTTCCCAAGCTATTAAGCTTCTACTCTCTCCACTTTCAAAATGTAAAGTAATCTTTGCCTCGAATCTACCTTGCCTTACCTCCAAATTCCTTCCCTTTCTTGCTTACTGTCTTCTGAAAGCTTCCCCCTTTTAAGCAACTTCAGATATAAACAGTATATAAGATGTGAAGTTTTACAAATAACAGATTATGTAGAATAATGGATTCATGGAATGAGTTGGTTTTAGTGTCTAGATTCTAATGACAAGAGAAGCCCCAAGATTGAAGTTCAGTAAGGTTTCATAAATTTCAAGAAAACCCAAGATGATGATGTACACTATTTAGCAGGTTACAAGTGATTTGAATCTACGAAGCAGTTCCCAGATGGCTAAGCAATATCACACATTTAATTGGCAGTTAATTGGAGATGGTCATTATCAGCACTTTGACTCCATCACACATTAGTGTCAGAATACACTGGTATGACTTTCGTCTTAGAACACAAATAAGCGATCAGGACTTAAGTGGAAATAAATGAGCAGACAGTTTTACTTTCACGGAGCTGTGTGTAATACATCAAACAACCTCCAATTAACAGATGAATACAGAATTTGCTTATAACATATGCCAAGTGCCAAATTCCTCAGTAGCCTACTTTAGGAAAACGAGATTGTATAATACATATATATTTTAGTCAGCCGGGTGTGTGACACATGCAGAAACCCAGCACATTGCTCCAAACCAAACTGGGAATTCCATGTATCCCACCTACACATGGAAATCGCACGGATAGATTGTTGGAATGGAATGTGCTCTCTCCCTGGAGGGACGCGTCCTGCTAATTCAATTCCGGAGAGTATTAGGCGCAGGTTGGCAACAACACCAACAACAAAATTACATCTGTATGGCGCCTTTCATATAGTTTGACAATCACAGTTCACAATCTTGTGTCCCCGGTTTTTGCACTATAGGTTACTGTACAATTGCGAAACTTATTGCAATTCTTCAAAAAAGGGTAAAAATTGTCAAACACACGGTGTTCAATAAAAAATGGTGCAAAAGGATGCAAACGATCTAATTCAAATTAATTTGGGGATTTCTTGAAATTTACGAACCTTACTGAACTTCAATCCTGTGGTTCATGATGTCATTAGAATCCAGACACTAAAACACACGCACTGAACCCCAAGCCACAAATCCATTATTCAACGCAACCTGGATCTGTAAGCCTTCACATGGTGAGTTAGCTCGGTTTATTTTGCGAAGGCCATCATAACCTTTAAGCTACCACAAACACTAACAATTGCACAGATTTTAAATTGCAGGCTTTAATTTGATGCATGTAGGCAAAGAAACAAAGGAGAGGGGAAAAAAAAGTCCCAACTCGGAAAATGATAGTGAACAGCCACCAAATGCCTAAAAGCCTACAACAGCCGCAGTAAGCATGTATTTGGACCTTTCTCCTGGGCTGATGTGTAGTAAAATCACTAGAGCCAGGCATTTCACACAGGAAATGGCAGCTGTGCTCATACAATTAAAGGCATGGAATTGCTTTCTTCACTTCAGCGAGCACCTTTACAAACAGTTGATCAGTAAACGAAACCAGTGTGATGATGCATTTAAAATCAGCACTCATTACCAAGAAGGTAGGCTATTTGCAGCAATAAATGCAGACTCCCCAATTCAGCAGCAGCTATGTTCTTGAAACCTCACATCCTGCCCCTGTGCAATTAGTCCACAAGAAGCTAATTACCTTAATCGAGCAATGACAGTTTCACTGACATCTTACTTCCTCCAACAGCTATAAACACTCCTAAACTAAGACAGCAGTTAATAGGTTTTCAGTGCATTATTTACATTGCTGTTTTGCACTAAACAGCTTTAAGTACAGCTCATAGAGGCTGAAGCATTTAAAGCTTGTGCTTTATTGTTATTATTTGACGTAAAGGACAGATAAAAACAGTTCTTTGTAAAAATGTAAGTGTGCTTCCCTGGTCAGCAAAATATTGTCGTTTTCTTATTCAGATGTTCCAGGGCTGACTAATTAACAGCAACGACCCGGTATTTTATTCAGATTTTCTTATGGGAGAACAACTAGCTGATTGTTACAGGATTGTTCTACATTGAAGTAGATAATGGCTTTGGTCAGGCAGCAGTCAATTGCGCACAGCAGTGTCCCACAAACAGTCGTGGATTGAGTGACCAAACTATTATTAAATATATATACATTTTTTGAAGGGATTATTTCACCCAGAAATGTGATCCGCCAATCGACTAACAACCGGGTTCTACTGACTGCTGGTAAACAGAGGCGTGTGTGTGGAGTAAGGAAACTTGCCCAACGTTTCGCCCTGACCTGCCCGGGAATCAAACCCAGGTCCTCTCGCTTGTGAGGTGAGTGGTCTAACCACTGAGCTACAGGACTCCACAAGTAAAATTTTGCAGCTCAATATTTTAATACGTCGACCCAACAGCAAACCACTTGCCTGATTTTTGGAACCATCATCCTATGCTGTACCATCAGAGTGTGACAGATGGATGCCATCATCGTGAAGACGTCTTCACTCACTGAGTCCTTCCATACTAGATTCAGCAAGGCATTGGTTTGTTGTTTTGTGTCCAGCTTCTTCAGACACTCCTCAATAATTAAATTCACTGAAATTCTACCATCATCCTTAAAACAGAATTAAACATATGTAAACATGCATGCAAACATTTTCACAAAATGCCTTCATATAAAACACAACTAAATATTTAACCATTTCAGTGTAGAATAAAATATTAATCATCTGTTAATAACAGATGATAATAACTATCAAAGGGATTAACACTGACAAAATCACAACTTTTGCAAGAAGCTTGTTGTTATGAGTGGTAATGGCAATCATTCAGAAGCTAAAATTTGAGGGAAACTGCCAGCAATTATGAAAAGCCATCTAACTGCTGAAAAAAATGATGTAAAAATGATAGGAATCATTTTTAAGTATTGCTTTTACAGAATCAATTATCAGTGGCAACTGCTTTCCGTGCCACAGTACCTTTTAACTTTTCCTCCCCTTCTCTATCTCAGGCAAGAACTTTGAATAAAATGTTTCCTCCATGCGTTTTTAAAGTTACTGAAGTTACACAACAGCCATTTGTTCTTATATGAACAATCAATTGATGAATCTATTTTTCAGTGGAAGAATAGTTCAAATATATTTTATGTATTAAAAAAAAGCATGGAATAGTTTGAAATGCAAGGGTCCCATGGTTTTATAATGTGCTGAAAGTTTGCACAGTTCCGAATGCATCAGGATTAATCACAAGTTAAACTTAATCCCAAACTAAATACAACTCCATTTTAGCCTTAATGAAGTACGGGTTAGGAAACTTAAGGCATCAACAATTAAATTAGAGACATTTGATTTGATACCTTGCTAGTAAACATTTTGTGCTCCTCCTCTTCATCATCCTCTGTGTCGCTGCCCAACTCTCTGCCATTTGAGCCAATCAGTGAAACAGGCAACTGTGGCAAAAGTGACTGCAACATCCTTAGATATACAAGCATGGCATCCTCAGGGAGATTGCCTAAAATTATTTGGTGGGAGGAAGAGATTGAAATTACTACTCTTCACAAGAATAAATTCTGATATGATTTCTCTACAAAATATCTTACCATTAAATGAATTGACACGAGATTCTGTTGCGTTTGTTTCGATGTTATTTGATCACACGTGAATACGTTCAACATCACGCAGCAGAAAGAAAACAGAATTCAGAATGGGAGGGGGGGATTGTTGGCCTGGACATAGGGGAAACTCCCTGTTTTATTTGAAACTTGCCATAGGATCTTTAACGTCCCTGAATAGGGCAGGGAATGTTGGTTTGTTTCACTCGAAGTACAGTACCTCTGACAATGCAGCACAACCAGCACCGCACTCGAGTTCCAGGCCCCATGGTGGGGCCTCAATCCACAACCTCCTGACTCAAGAGGCACGAGTGCTGCTACCTTCTGAGTCAAGGTGATACCTTTCGGATTTTTAGAATGTATTTGTTTTCTAAATAGTTCAAGCCTCTTAATAGAACACATTTACACCGCTTCAATATTTCCAACATCAAATTCTTTAGCCTTGAGGAACCGGGAAAAGAAAAACCCTCTGTACCTATTTGTGATTCTCCGACAGTAAGTACAAAGTACAGAAGCCATGGAGCTGTATCCCGAGTGAAGGCAGGTCCTGCTGAAGCGTTGTTCTTGGTTATTAATAGTGCATTCAGGAAAGCTATGTAAGGGAAGGACACCCTTGGATCACACAGTGCTGGAATAAGGAAGTTGAAGATTTGGTCTGTGAATGGCGCAGTGAAAAACTCTTTCGCCAACGCTGCAAAAACCCGGTGCCTGTGTAAAACAACAATAGTCATTCTTTACAAAAAAGCAGCAAAACACCACAAACACAAAATCACCATACAAACAGAAAGAATTTCTTAAGACCTTGTTTTTTTTTACCTTGCACCTTCTGGACAGGATGCATACGAAACGTGCAGTGGTTTCAGAAAATTCTCTAACAATGTCATAGCGAGTGGAACACGAGAAACATCCAACACATCAGTATACTCTAAACTTGTTGGAAGCCTATGATTAATTAACATGTAAAGTGATTTGTAGTAACCTGCAGAAAAACAGAAGAGCCAATTAATATTCGTAATTCCTCTAAGCTTTCTCGATATACTGTCTCAGTCTTTGGTTTTTGACCGATTCAACAATCTATAACCGCGCATATAATAATAAATTGGTCACTGAATCCACAACTGTTTCTGGGACGCTGCTGTGTGCAATTGGCTGCCACATTTTGCCCACAAAATATTCAGTCAATTCACTTTACAGTATATTCTGTGAAGCACGTTGAGACGTCTTGAAGACATGATGAAGCGCTATATCAAATCCAAGGATTATTATTATTATAAAACCAAGAGTTTTATTTCCCTTAATCTGAACTTTCAGAATTTATGCTTTCGCTCACGATTTATTTCTAAGATCCATACATGCAAAATGATCACTTTGATGAGGCACCAAAAAGTGACCATTTTCCCCAGCAGAACGAAAAAAGGAATCGTAAACAACAACATGCATTTATATAGCACTATTCACACAGGGTAGCGTCTCAAGAACATAAACCACTTCAGGAGAGCGAGAAACAGAGAAGTGGACAGAGAATAAAATGAGCAGGATTGTTTATTGTGAAGAAAACTAAGTTGCTGACCTTTCTGAACCATGTAGTGCAAAATCTGTTCAATTAATGATGCTACACAGTTAGCCTCCTGTACACTGGGCAAATACGTTTTATCTGAGGAAAAGGTCTCCAGCATCCTCAAAGGCACTGTAACATTCAAGTTCTCATTGTTACAGCTCCTCAGTAACCTAGCCAAACAAAAAAAGCAAGTTACTTGAGAACTATGTACAGTGAAGAATGACTTGGATTTATATCACATACACCCTTCACGCAGAATAAAGTCTGAGCGCTTTATAGTGGCGGGGACAGGAACAAGTTGGACTTGAAGAGAGATGAGACAGAGCAGTCAAAGGGGGTTATGCCACAGGTGAGGGGAATAGAATTGAAAAGCTCAGCCATTGATGGTAGTGAAGGGAGCGCACAGCAAGCCCAAGTTGGCCAAAGGAAGAGAGCAAGCAGAGGAATGAGGTAGGAGGAGATTGGAGAGATAGGGAGCTGCTAAGGCATGAAGGGATTCTTCGGTGAGGATTTGGAAATCAATCTGCTGAGAGACAAGGAGCCTTGGACCTTTAGCGAGTACTGGGTGATGGACACGATGTTTGGTGTCGGTGAAGAAGCAGGCAGAGATTTCAACAAGTTGAAGTTTATGAATGATGGTTGATGGAGAGACCAGCGAGGAGAGCATTGGAAAATCCAGCCAGGAGGTGACAAAGTCATGGATTAGGGTTTCAGTGGCAAGTTAAATAATTAATAAACTTGCACATATTAATATACCAATACAAGTCAACCCTACAAACCTTCTCAAGTTAGAGGTTTCACAAGCTATAAATACTTTTTTGGGGAAAAAAAGACACTGAAATTTAACAATCCCTTCAATAAAACTTGCTCCCCCCACCCCTACAGTTCACAGAGAAGTTGTGCCAAAGGTATTTTAGAAGAAAAGGTGATATAAACAAAACCTTGAATAAAATAATAGAATTAAAACCCAAAGAAATCCTACAGCTAACGGATTCCATTTAAAAATAACAAGGTGGGATCTTTCTTTCTTTTTCACCAAGAGTCGAGCAGCAGAATGATTCTGAATGTCTGTGGCAAAGTGGTTCAACAGTGGGTCTTAGTATTCAATAGTGTCGCTCCTAACATTTTGTCTAGGGCCAGAATCCCAACAGATATTTTGTCTTTGTAACAACAATAAATTACATTTACACAGCATCTTTCACGTCGGGATGATATCCCAAAGCATTGGACAGTCAGGGATTAGGACCGGAGTTGGAGATTGGGAACAGGGGGTGGAGCGTGGGGAGGGTAGGGGTAGGAGGGTGACCGAAGGCACGGTCGAAGAGGAAAGTTCTGAGATGGGCCTTGAAGGAGGTGAGGGAGGGGGTGAGGCAAAGGGACTCCGGGATGGCGATCTAGAGAGTGGGGCAGAGAGGCCAAAGGCTCGACCCCCTCCAATGGTGGGGAGGGCCGGGCAGGGTGGAGGACATGGAGCAGACAGGCAGGTACGTCGGTATGGTAAGTGGGGTGGTAGAAATTACCTGCAATAGGAAAAGAAATCAAACCAGTGAAACCTAGATTACTTTCTCCCATCTTCAAGCAGCCTGTGAATCAGTGAGACTGACAGACGCCCGAGTATCTGCAAAACCCTGGGAGCTGGATGCTGCTCTGATGTCATGACTAAAATACGTTCTGCTGCAAGGCTAGATGGTACAACACTCAAATTTTTTTATTTTATTTTAAAAAGGGAGATGGGAGGTTACATCCATAACCTCTTATGGAAACGTAATAGCTTCCAGCTGTTTCCTGTTCGGGGAACAGCTGTCTAAAGTTATAGAGGAAATGCTCACAGTGAGGTTTTCTGGCTACAGAAGGGCTTACAATTACAGCCTTCACTTCTGTTCACACCCCTGAATCACCACATTGCTGTGGTTATGCTTTCATCTTAAAAGCGGTGAGGAGACTAACAATTGAATTTCTGTGGTATCAAAGGTACAGCTAACAAATCTGAGCAAAAAAAACTTACCAGGACAAATTTTCTTTCAGTCATTCACAATTATAAACATCATATTCATTTTCCGCTCAAAATAAACACTAAGCTTTTCTTTTACAACTGTACAAGCTATCTGTCTGAGTGAGATGTAAATAAAGGCTTACCTGCAGCATAAACCCAATAAACGCTTTATTTGATACAGACAGATTTGCCGGTTTGAATCAGCAAGCTGTTGCATGTATTGAGAACTGTGCTTCACCAAATTCTGACACATCCATGTCTGGGGAAAGTAAAGGGTTACATTTTATTTTCTTACTGTAATCCAGTGTCCAACTAAACAGATTCATTAAAAAAAGCAGAGTCTTCAAGAGAGTGTTTTGTGAACCTTTTTCATCGTTTACAAGATCAATCTTTGTACGGTACTGACAACACTGACATCAAGACATTCCCACTCGCGTGAAATATCACTGGGTCCATTTGCATTGGCCCTTTTCATTATGGGGTAGAAGCTCTTCTATTTAGAGCAACAGAATACCATCCTGACGAGTAGGACTTTCTGAGATTCAGCACTGGGAAAAACACCTATTTTATATTGTGACATGCCCCCATTGGGTAAGATGTGAAATTGTCAAAAGTCTGCAGAGAAATATTCTCTGTTGAGAGGCTTCAACAAGGAGAGCTTCAAGTAGAAAAAGGCTAATAGCAGTACGGTGCAAAACACCAATAACCAGTCAGTGACATAAAGTAGCTTTAAAGTAATTTATAATACAACCCAAAATTAACATTTTATCTTGTATTCATTTAATAGGACAGCAACACTTAGTCATTATTACTGTATGTATGGAATTATATAAAATTAAGAGCCTGTTTATAAAGGCCTATTACTTCCCTTACCAATCTATCTGAATCCTCATTTTGCTTGTAAAAAAATAGGAGTTTCCTTATTAAAACAATCAAATTATATCCATCACTGATAGAAAAATCTCCTCCTGGTCGGACTAAGGAGACACAATTATCAAATTCACTTCGCTGAATAGCATGCTGCAAATAAAATGAGAGAGAGTTAGGATTCAGCATTCTAAATAAAATATTCAAAGGCATTTTTTAAAGGCAGCATTAAATTGAACTTTCTCGCTATTCCACGATAACTCCCTTCTGCTTGAACAACTTTCCAACTCTAGATAGAATTCCTGGTTCAAATAAGTTTGTGCTATTCTAGTTACGTTTCGTCCAAGTCTCGTTTCGAGAATACCCAGTACTTCTCAACAAATTCTTTTTTTTTGTTCAATCACAAAACTTTGCTGGAGTATAGGTGAAGAGCTGCAACAATATTTTTATCCATTAGAAATTTAACTTTACTTATAATAATGATACAAGGAAAAATACAATATAGTAACTTTGACAGAACTAAATTATTCTAACACGCATTTACTATAAAAATGCCAACAACCAAAATGAAACTATGTGTGTGTGTATATATATATATACACATATGTATATAAATGTTAAGTGTTTTTTTATTAGAACGATTTTTTTCTTATTTCCTGCTCAACTCTCACAAATCTTTGCACGCAAAAGCAATAAACCCAGTGTGGAACAGTAGGATATTGAAGTGCACAGAGCAGTAAACTGGACAAGTGCAAATTAAAAGTTCTCACTGTCCCATTTCATTAGTCAGTCCAATTTAGTGCTCCCTTCCTTCATTGTAAACAATCTACATACTTGCTGTTTTCGATCCCTGTATCCTCGTACATAGGATTGAATGATAACTGCATTCCTCTGCCTTCGCCTTTCTTCCTGGAGAGAGAAATGAGAGAGAGAGAGAGAGAGAGAGAGAGACAGACACACAAGTTTAACAAGGTTGTCTTAATTAGGCTCCTGAGCACTTTCTGTGAATCACCATTCATAATCTCTCTACCTGAACATAAATGGGTGCGCTTCCCCTTTTTTTACAAATGGAACAGAAACCAATACATATTGAAAGCACTTTCCCACAGCTGCCAGTCTTACCTACCAGAATTTTACTACAAAGACTCGATCCTTCAAGATGTCAAATAGAATTTCCAAGAGTTTTGTATAATTTCCAGATGAATGGGAAACACAAGCATTCTGGTGCCACCACACCTCAAGCAGCAGCAACAGCTAATTCTTTTAGACCAGCTGAATACATTAATGGAAGGCTAGAGTCTACATTTCTTCTTATTCTGCTTGTAAATTGTGAAATAAAATCTGCGCTAGTGTCTGCGAAACACACAGTGGGAGGGGATTGTTTATGTGCAACTGTGATTATGCATGAAAACAGCACCTCTTTGCTTATTAAATACATTACACTTAAAACCAGGCATCAATTTTATAGTTATACCATGGTTTCCCCTCCCCTACAATTTTCACCCCTACCCTGAAGGCATTTTCTGCTTTCCACTGGGCAGTTTGTTTGCTGCTCCAGTGCACTGCCCAAGTGGGCATTATTCATGTCAGAATCTATCCATCTGGAATCCTGATAGGCACATTTTGGGTTACCTTGATCCTCTCTTATTTTACCGATGTTATCCAAGGGCACTGAGGCCAATTGTAGCATGCAAACTTTGCCCTGGCTGAAATAACCAACACCCCCCTCCCCACCTTCAATTCTATATATAATAATCCTTGCATTTGATAGCGCTTTATCACGTCGATGGGATTTCACCCACAAAAAATACAGTTAATCCACTTTACAGAATATCCTGCGAAGCGCTTTAAGAAATCTCAACGACTTGATAACAACAAAATTACGTTTGTAAAGTGCCTTTGACGTCAGGAGGATGTCCCAAGGCGCTGAACAGTCGGGGATCAGGATATAACATGCAATTATTATACTATAATAATCCTTGCATTTGATATAATGACCATCTTCTAGTTGTTCATCTGTATTCCAACCCACAAATTCTAACTGCATAACGCTAAGTGCAAATTGTGGCCCTCACTTTAAAAAAAAGGGCAAATATCTATTAACATGAATGCAAGTTTGCCTTGCCGAGTTCACTCTGCTTTGATCAGATGTCAGGGTGAAAGATCAAAATGCCTTAACATGACAATTTCAGGCGCTGGAAATATGGTCTGTGTCATGAGAAATTAAAACTCTATCCAATCCATTAGAGGGAACTGGATTCTAACATATCAAAATGCCCCATAGAGAACCACAGGACTATATGGTTATCTCTTTGTCCAAGCTGCAGGTCACTTGAGTAAACCAAGGACAAACACTTTAATCACGCCATAAAACTGCATTTTATTATACTCAAGGCCAGAGCTATTAAGTTGTGCATTTATTGGAATCCAGTGTCTGGATTTTTCAAGTGAGTAATTCTCAACTTTTCAGTCATGAGGGTTAAAGAGGTGCAAGACCCTTTCTGGGGGAAAAAATAACATTAGAACAAAGTAAATGACAAGGTTATTAATTCATCCGTTTTCTCTATCTGGAGATGGAAGTTAATTTTACATTATTGTTGGCTATACAATCATTCTAATCGGTCGATTGAAATGCATTATCTTAAAAAAAGTGTTTGATAGTACACCAGTTAGACAACAAGGACTGGGCCTCTTTTTTAATGCGACATCCTGTATAAATGAAACGCGTTATAAGCTTGGGAATTTGATCAGAATAAGGGGCTTATAGATTGTTACCATTTTTGCAGGACCAGCTAATTGAGATACTAACTGCTCAGCCATGGTTGTAGCTCAGTGGTTAGAGCACTTGCCTCACAAGCAAGAGGACCTGGGTTGAATTCCCGGCAGGGCGAAATGTTGGCAAGTTTCCTTACTCCACACGCCTCTAGTTACGACAGTAAGTATGAACCTGGTTGTTAAGTCAATTGGTGGATCGCTTTTAATTTGGTCACTCAATCCATGATTATTTGTGGGACGCTGCTGTGCGCAATTGGCTGCCGCATTTTGCCCACAAAATATACTCAATTCACTTCACAAAGCGCTTTGAGACGTCTTGACGAGGTGATAAGGCGCTATATCAAATGCAAGGATTATTATTATTCGCCAACACCCAAATGAAAACAGATTTCAGATGTCAGTGCGTTGAATCCCATGATCCAGCTGGTGTAGTCATGTTAAAAATAACACAAGCTCAGCGGATGATTACACCGCATGCTTCGGCATTCAGCCAGCCCAATGTGATCAGTTCCAGACTTGAGCCCCACTCTGCGTTGAGTTAGCCAATTGATTCCACTGAGGAGGGTACGACAACTGACCTCAACAAACCAGGGCTAGAGAGGGAAGAATCGGCAGCCAGGGTTCCCCACTTTCAAATGCTAGTAAATTGACCTATGCTGGAACTTATGGAAGTGCATTTCTGAATAGGAAGTTGGGATCAGGCACTCTCTGTAGCTGTGGTTCCAACAATCAAACAGTAACTTGCATTTATATAAAGCCCTTCTCGTTACCCTACATGAAACAATATTAATGCACAAAGAATGACCACTCGCGGAAGATAATGGAAAATCACTGCCACTGCCAAAACCTTCAGCCTACAAGGGTCACTGAAAGAAAGCTAGGTGAAACAGGAAGATCCTTTCATTTTAAGAGACAAGAGGCATACACTTCCACTTAGTATTTGCCTGCAAGAGCATTTAAGGTTGCTCAGAAACATGCAATATTCTTAAATTCAATCTGTATTCAGAAATTTGTTTTCCTCAGCTCTTAAAAAGTTCCTTTGCATTAAACACAAGTTTTGCACAAATAGTACAATGTGCAAACGTAGCTTTAGTTTCTCCACCAAGTGTATGATGAATTGCGCTGTTTTATTGAAATTTATTTGTGAAATTAACATTTTAATCAATTGGGTGCATACAAAAAAAATCAAAACTAGCAATAAAAACTCCACGGTCAATGTCATCTTGGAGATACTGCAATCTACGTCTGTTGCCGGATGATACAAGTACAGACTTTTTTTTATAAAGAGAAGCAAAGATCTGTATAGAAACATGGTTAAAAACACGCCAAATCAAGGCTTTTTAAACAGTCAATAAAATCTCAATTTACCTCTCGTTTTCGCCTTTCTTCCTGCGTTCGATGTAGCAGTGAAGCTTTTTCTTCCTTCAAGAGAATTAAAAATTATTACATTATTACTCCTGTAATTTACACACCAATGAACAAAAACAAATTACATTTCTATTGTGCCTTTCACGTCGGGGGGACGTCCCAAGGCACTGGACAGTCAAGCATGTGCATTCGAGCTAGGGGTTGGAGTCAGGAGGTGTGGAGGGTGGAGGATTATTATATTATATTAATCTCAAAGCACTCGACAAATGGCCGTACAAAGTAGGAAAATAATTAAAGATATTAAAGTAATACTTTTTTTTGAGAAACCAGTGTACGATTCTGGTTGTATTACAATAAGAACATCTCAGCACTGAGGGAAGTACAGCAAAGGGCAACTCGATTGATAGCTGGAACTAAGCACCCGATTTATGTCATGAAGAGAGGCTACAGAAATCGGGAATGTTCACACGCAAAAGACAAGACTCGGAGGACATCTTATTGAGGTATAGTACTTGAAATCCTGAAATCCAATAAATACAGAACAGAGACTTGGACTCAATTTTACATTCAGAAGTAGATGACCCGGTCGGGTGGGGGAGAGAGAGAGGAAGCAGATTTGATCGAATTCAAGAGGGAATTAGCTAGGTATTTAGTTGGATAGCTCGCTTGGCCACTCCAGTTGCATCAGTTACTGAGAAGTGGGAAATGTAGCGGGAGACCTGGAGCCATTGTGGAGCCTCCAGACCCGTTCGGGGTGGGGGGGGACAACGACGACAAGATGCATTTTTCAAATCATTTCTTCTCCTTTAGGCTATTTTGAAATCCTGAACGTGTTACAGCGTGTGCCCCAGAGTAGCAGAATTTGGATTTATAGATGCAACTGTACACACATCATGTTCCTGACTTCACTCCAACCAGCCTCGAACTCTGTTTTGCAATGAGTTCATCCAAACTGGAACACAGTTCAATTTTGCGTCAGTTCTACGAAATGGAGCCAGTGGAGGCTGGTACGAACTGGGGTGATGGGGGCGAGGACACAGGCCGCAGAGTTTTCAATCATTTGATCCTTATTAATAGTGGAACTGGGGAATGCATTGGAAAAAATCAAGGCAGGAGGTGACGAGAACATGACTGAGATTCTCAGCAGAGTTCCAATGACGCCCATGGTTAAAGCAGATTCTCTAAAAAATTTTTTAATCCTTGCATTGATGTAGCTCTTTACCACATTGTCAAAAACCTCTGAAAACACTTCACAGGCTTTATTGCTTATTTATTTTGCGTCTTCCACGTCAGAAGGACATTCCAAGGCACTGGACCGTTAAGGGTTTGCACCCGAGTTGGGGGTTGGAATCAAGAGGGGTGGAGGGTAGAGGGTTGGGGATGGGAGCCAGTGGAACCAAAGGCGCAGTCAAAGAGGAAAGTCTTGAGATGGATATTGAAGAAGGCATGTGAGGGGGTGAGGAGGAGAGATTCGGGGTTTGGAGTTCCAGAGGGTGGTGGCAGAAAAGCTGAAGGCCTGACTGCCAATGGTGGAGTAGTCAGGGGAAATTGGAGCAGACAGACCAGTGCCTTCTGAACAGAGGGAGTGGGAAGGTTCATATGACGTTAAGAGGTCACAGGGGTAGGGAGGAGCAAGGCTGTGTAGGGCCTTGAAAGGGAGGATGAGGATTTTAAATTCTCAGATAAGCCCTCCATTCCTGGGACTGGCTTTTTTTTTTTTTACCAGTCATGACAAATTATATGAAATAGAAAATTGTACATAGGAGTTTACGAATAGAAAGTCATTCAGCCAATTGAGTCTGCACTGCCACAGACCACTGCTCCATGTACTCCCTCCTCTAATTCCACTTCCTGGCCTTATCATGCTGTTCTCTAATATATTTCTACTTCCCAAGTATTGATCCATCTCTCTCTCTTCCCTAGTCTTAAGGTTAGGTCCTCCAGTAACTGATAGGCTCACCAGGGGATAAAGTCACACTTTTTGTCAAATCTTTGATATATCCGTAACACCTCAATCAATCACCTCTCAACCTCCTCAACTGAAGAGACCAATAATACTACTAATAATAATCGTTGCATTTGATATAGCACCTCATCACGTGGTTGAGACGTCTCAAAGCGCTTCGCAGGATAATCTGTAAAGCGCGTGAGATGGCTCAGACAGAACAGAGGAGCAAAAACTGGCTTGGTAAATCCAAAAGGTACGTGTATAACCAAAAGACAAGTATTTGCAACAGAAAATAAACTAAGACGCAATGACATTACACAAACCTTACATAACTCCATGACACACAAAGCTCTCCTCTGCTTCAGAATATACACTTAAAAGCCTAAGTTGCAGAATAACACCAGAAAATCCCATGTGACATCAGCAGGAACCAAATAAAACTATAGAAACTCACCAAAACAGAATTCATTCCACAAGCACCAGATATAAAAACAGAAACGAAATCTTACCAAATCAAATTATATAGAGTTGCAGGCAGGACAACAGGAAGAAGGCAGGTACGTGGGATTAGGCAAAGATAGTTTAATAGAATAATCTTTGCATTTGATATAGCATTTCGTCAAGATAAAATCTTCCAATGGTAATAGCTGTTAAGTGTAGGGACTGAGTATTTGAAGGCAAATACAAGTTAATTTTGTACATAGCAAAGCCCCACAAAAGGCCATGAAGTTAATGACCACCAAAAATGACTAGTCATTGAAGTATTTAGATAGGCTTCAAATGAGGGAGTCAAATGGATTCTGGAATGGAGTTCTCGAGAGCGGGAGTTGAATTGCTGAATGCTCACCCTCTAATGGTGGAGCAGACACAGCGGGGAACACATTACAGGCCAGTGTTTGATGAGTTTGCAAGGTTAGAGGGAGCGAGGGTGGGGTTTGTAAGGAGGGGAATGATGACAAAGGTTTTGAGTGGAGTGGGACAGAGTAAGAGGAGAGGGACTGGTCAACTATGCCTGCCAGACAGCAGTGGGCAGAGGAGGGGCAGCAGGTGG